ATCAGAAGTGCTTGGATTTAGAACTTAGCATTACCATGTTCATTCCTTCTTATACCTGCTGTAGAGAAACAAACATTCAGCTTATTCAGTGTGCCAGTTATCACCACTATGATTATATACAATAGTGAACACATGCAAACAGAACACAAAAATTACCTGTTCTAGAATTCTAGCCCTGATCCTTACAAAAACTCCCTAGCCAAGCCTTTTTTCATTCAATGGAGGGAGAATTATTGTAATCAAATATTATTAGCCTGGTAAACCCCATCTTTTGTTCAGGTATTAAAATAACAGGTAATATTCCAGCCTAGTATAAACTCAGAGAGAAGAGTTTATTAAATCATTATTTTTTTAAAGACTGAAAAAATAAAAGAAAAAGGGGGTGGGGGGTTGGTCACTATTAAACACATACTTAATGAAAAATACATGCCTTATTTTTCTGTGGACGTATCACAGAATTTAGTCTGAGATGGAGTCCATTTACAAAAATAAAATTAAAGCTGATTTTAAGCAACTCTTCAAGGCACTAAAGTCCAAAGCATACCAACAGTCATAAGACATTTATTACTCAAATGCAGCTGAAAGGACATTACCCCAACAAACCATGTTTTGGAAGATGTACAGACACACCTTCCTTAGCCAGTCCTGGATAACCAGGCATTGGTAGAGCCATGACATCAGGTTTCTCAATCCTGCTGCCCAAGGAATGTTTTTCCATCTCAGCTATTATGCCAGTGATGGAAATTAGAGTGGCAGCAGCATCCTTGAACTGAAGAGTGCATTTCTGAAAGCCACAATTTCTGGAGGACCTTCTCTTCAGCCCCAGTGTGGCAGCCTTTGGCAGCACCTGAAGGGAGCAACAGCCAGACACCGCCCATCTGTCCTTGTCACACCTGGCCAGAGGTGGGAGCAGCGCCTGAGCAAGGATCTTACAAGCACTAAGCCAAGTTTGCAGTGCAGCAGTACTGGCTCAGGGGGAAATCTCAGAGCTTTAACCAGAATACACTATTCCAAATACATAGCTGCATGCTCCACTGTGAATATGAACTTAGAGCTATTTAACACTTCATAAACATGCGATTTTATATCCTAATTGATTTCCTCTATTTTTATCAAGCTACCTTCTAAGCCCAAAAGCAAAGATAATGGAGAATCAGCATTATTTTCTCCAAGGAAGGGCAAAAGACAACAAAATATATTCTTACACATTTGGTGTGCATATTTTTGGGAGTTATACAGCTTAAGTTCTGCAAGGCAATTTTCTGAACTTTCACTGACAAACAAATCTGATCTGAAAAATCTTACATCAGCAGGGTTGGTTTGCAGATGTTATTTTTGCCATTTATTTATCAAAAATAACTAGAAAATGTTTTTAAAACATCATTCCAGACTGTACAAATAGGAATGTGACATGGGCTGTCTGTTTTACTTATACTGTTTTACTGCTTCGTATTCTGAGCAAACAGAGAGGCTATTTTCCCCAGGGGTTCAGGAGGGCATACTATTTCATTTCTTCAGAAAATTGTTTCTCTGGATTTCAATCTTTTTAGCTAGATATGACAAAATATAATATCAAGAACACTTATGCTTTTTATCAGCTCTATTTTCAAAGCATAAATAATAGATCAGTATATATTTAAGTCAGGTGACCAAGTCTTATTTCTGAAATCAAATAAGCAGTTTGCAATTTTTAAATGATGCTGTACATTTTCACTACAGCATCATTATGCCTTTAAAATGCTTTCAAAAGACTAATTTATAAGCATGAAGTGAATTTGAAGATATTTCACTAGTGTTAATAATACCTCGATCAGGTAGCATTCAATTTTCTGAATTTCTGGGTTAATGAGGCAAATAAATCAAAATTAAATTGGCCTAGGGAACAAAAAAATCAAACAAAATTGCATCTATTATGTTATACATTCTGAGAATCCTTCAGCACGGTTCACAATGGCAAACAATATTCCAGCTCTCAGAATCATTACACTTACTCAGAATCAGAGATCAATCTCACAATCTGAGATTTAAAATCAAATAGATCAGACTTCATGACTAGACAAACATAATGCCTTATTATGATGTATCAGGAGTATTCACAAGATGTTGTGCACAGTCTTAGCCAAGTATTTTCCATTAAGTGTCCATAATTTCAGCTGCCTACCATTTCTTCAATAATTCAACCAATTCCTTCCAGGAGGATTTTATCATTGCAACCTGCTAGGTCTTTTCTTTTAAGATAAGCCTTAAAAAGAAAATACATTCTGCAACCAGGCTATCATTCACCATTTTTTAAAAAGCTCCAAAATCACATAGATCTAGGCAAATAGCTGAAACAAACAAAAATCCTAGCATTTCTGAAAAGTAAATACTTCTAGTCATACTGCTATAGTATGAATCATGGAAAAAATATTACCTTCACCTCCTTCTCTAAAATATGAAAGGAAATATTTTATAGATACTATCAAAAAGATGCTACTGTTGGGGAATATCAGTGTTGTCACTCTTTTTTAAAAAGTGGTTAATAATATACAATATAGAAAACTAAAGAAGCCAGAGTTGTTACCAGAAATAATAAACTCAGAATGAGCAAATAACAATCAACAAATAATAACATGCAATTATTAGTAGTTGCCATTGTTATCCCCTTATTACTTGTAGTCAAGTAACAAATTCACTTCTCTACCAAGAGTCACCTACCTGTACAAGGGCAGCCTTTCAGCCTAAGGAACTTTCTACAAACATGGAGCCCCAGCTGCCAAACAAACTTCCCCACTGAGCTGTCATCACCTGCTAAGGCGGCAGCATAGACCTAAGACTTCCACATATACAGTATTTACATTTTTTAATGGAAAACACTGCAGCAAAGTGGACTGGGTAGTTTTTTCCCAAAGTAAGTTACTACTGGCTGTAAGCATTTAAAATTTAATGGCAGTAACAAAACAACTCTATTTTTTTGCATATTTTAAAGGAATTAAGGGCCCAAGTGCCCTTAAGTGGCACAGGGTAAAAGCAACAAGAAACAAAGCAAAACCACGGTTGCACATTGTCCCCAGGTAGCACCTTCCTTGTGGCTTTGCAAAACAATTTGTATGGTCAAGACCCTGCTTAGGAGCAAGTTCTATGGTCATCTAATAAATTTGTTTTGATTTTACTCCCTGGGGACAAACAACAGCACAATAGCTACTTGCTACAAAATAGTGAGCAAAAAAAGACACCCTTCCTTCCATTGCATTAGAAAAGCTTTCAGTTTTATCAATCTATAACAAGTGCACACGTACAGCAAGTGAGCAGCCTCCACAGGCAGGAATTAAAAGACAAAGCCAGCCTAGCAAAAGCACCCTCAGCACTTGGTAGGTTTGGAAGAGAGTGGCTCCTTTCAGTCCCTATTCCACATCAGCCTGCCTCCTGTGCCCCAGAATGACCAAATGGTTTTGGGGACTAGGGCTGTACATTTTTAACAGTTTAAAGAATGCCATTCCAAAAGGTGTTGATTTCACCTCAATAGAGAACAAAATAAGGACTTCCCCAGCTCCTGAATTAAAGTTCAGTGCCTAACTTTGGCATGCCAACACCCCTCAGTGCTTGGCTGCTGAGGAGACACGTACAAGAACATGAAGTCCTACTTCAAATTATCCCTTTGAGTTTAGGTTGTGACAGACAACAGTGACAGAGTCACCATCCAATGGTTATTCAATTGCTTGCCCAGAATGACACAGTAATTTTATTCTGATTCTTAACTCACAGAACAGAAGCCACAACCGCTATCAGTCCTCTCAAGGCCTTATGCTCTTTGGCAAGGAGTACTGATTTGTGTTTTTATAGCACTACCAGGTAGTGCTTGTGCACAATCATTATCCAAATAATTCATAACAACAAGTGAGAAAGAACATCTGGAAACAAACCAAATGCATCCTGATCTGCTCAGAAAAAAGATGAAACATTGCTGGGGCACCTAAAAACAGCCTCTTAAATCAGTATGTGATACACGTCTGAGATGCTCTGATGTTCTGAAAGGCACCTAAAAGCATGTAAACTTGCATTATTACCATGCACATAACCAACTCATGAGTATTATCATGGGAGCAACATGAACACAGTGACATGTCAACTGCCTGCAGGATCAGGCTTTGGCCATAAATTAGAATATGAAATTTAGATTACATTAGAACACAACAAAAATGTTTAAAGAAACTCTTTCAGAAAATAAAAGTATTTTAAAAGCCAATGGCAGCAGGCTTCTTTCTACCACTAAAACAATGATAATTTAAAAGCCAAGATTAATTTGAAAACATTTACCTGTAAATCAGAAAGTCCCCAGAAATTAATTTCTGCACTTATGCTATTTGCAAAAAATATTTAACTTAAAGGCATTCCTTTTTTCCTGAAATAATTGCATGCAAGATGAGAACTAAAACACAATCTGAAGTGTAGCAAAGGTAATTGCTGCACTTACTGCTCATGTCATGTTGATGTATTACTACGTATCAAAGGTCACAGTTCTGTACTCATACATTATCAAATTTGAAAGAGCAATATTCGAATCTGACCAACCTTTAAACTGCCCGGAATCTGTGTGAAAATGGATGCAGGCTAACTTGGATTTTAAAAAAAAAATGAACCCATGTTTTGGAAGGGGTCAATCAAGCCAGACTGACAGGGTTACGCGTCACTTCTGTGCCTCTAATACCCTCTTAGATTATCAATGAGGTGCAGTACACTGATCACAAGCTAAAGCAGCTGTGCTAATGAAAATGAAACAGTCTGAAAAAACTAGGTAATACAGGCCTGTGACACAGGGCAGTACCTTGTGGACAATAATGGAGGAATAAGGACATAAATCACCATTTAGATACAATAAAAGCTGCAATACCCACCCTGAAATGTCTATGGAATCGTGGGCCAAAGTCAGCACCTTCACAACTCCACAATTCTCTCTGAAGCTGCCACATATTTTCAATCCTGAGTCAAGGCAGGTTTTCCTGCCTCTACCTCAGCACACACAAAATTTTGCAGTCCTGTGCCAGGCTGACCTTTGAGGGTGGAGAGCTGGCTGCTCATGCCATGAGCCAGGAGTTCTCACAATTGGCTGTAGCACAGACAAATGGGTCCTATCAGAAACTACTCAACCTTGAACAACTTTCTTCTCCTACATATGCCAGTCCAACCGGGGGGCAGGGGCTGCATTAACGAGGCAGGGGCTCCCTCATCCTTGTTTGGGAACATATGGGGTTCTCAAAAACACCCAGATAACTACAAAACTCAAGTTGATTAAGTACAGCCAGCACAGAAGGAACTATTAAACAGAATTATCACCTCAAATCATCAATTAAGCTCAGGCAAATAAATAGCTTTTTCATGATCAGTTTTTTCCTCAACAACTTACATACACAGCAAAGACAGCATATATTCAAATAACAAACTATGCAATTTCATTTCATATGCTTTAAAATTTGCTTCATTTGGTAAAATAGTAAATTTCAAAAGGGGGGCACAAGTTCAAATATTTTCTCAATTACAAGCAGAAAAGCTAAGACAGACATTTCAGGAAGTCTATTAGAGCCTAAGAATTCACACTAATTAATGTTTTTGCCATTGATTTTAATGAAATTTCAACTGCAGGTGATGTATAGTCAAGGCTACATCTAGGATTAGAACGATTAAAGATAATATTTCTGATTAAAGATAATATTTATAGTACATAAACAAACATACCCTTTACTAATGCAACAATACTATTACAACAATAGCATCTATAAATATACAGGTACTCCTGCTTAAATAAAAGCTCACTTTACAAAAATGCAAGTACAAACATTCCTAAAGAAATAACTTTCACATTTCCTTTAAAACATAATTCAAAACAGTTTTCTTAAAAAGGAATTATCTTGGTGGTTTTGTAAAATGTTTTTGAGTGCTGAACAAGTCAAAAATTAAGTTTCATCAACTGAGCAGAACTCCTTGAAGTGATGCAAGGAATTAGAGGGCACTTGAGAAGAGCTGGAAGGTCTTTGTTGCTTGAGTTTTCTACAAATCCAGCTTCTCCATTTTCATTGCGGCAGCAAAATGGAGAGAGAAAGAGAGAAAGAATGATTATTTCAATATAAGTTTACAAATTTAGAGATGACTTTGAATTTACAAATTGAACACCCAAAATAGTCAGCTCTCCAGTATCTGCACTCCTTATTTTCTCCTATATCTGATTATCTTGGGATTTTGCTGCGTGTATTCTTCTCTGGCGGTTGCAATCTCCCTTTTGCAAATTATTTTTGTCACACAACAGAAGGAGAACACATGATTTCACAGTGGTTCACAGTGGCAAAGGCTTATGAAGTCTTTCAGGTGCTCCTGAGAAACATTAGTAATTGTTCACTGAAAATCCTAGCAGTACAGTGCTAGGTACCTACAGTGGCAGTCCTGAAATAGGTTTATTCCCACAGTGACTGCTGTGAGAAATAACCAGTATTACAAGACTTGGTCACGACATCCCCTTCTACCCAAAAATTTAAGTCATGATCAAATTGATTTTATGCAACCTTGAAAGTTATATTATGATACAGTGCTTTAGATTTTTTACTGTTGCAAAGTTAAATAATCTACTGACAATCTTCCAAGTGTTTGCTTTAATCTCAAAACCCCATGGTTTGGGAACGAATTATTGTATAATCAATACATTTCATTTTAAAGCTCTTCTCACTATCCTGCCTATCATATACCTCTCTAGGTCTTATTCTTCATAGAATCACAGGATCGTTATTCTTTCAGAGAAAAGATTGAATGTGACCTGACAAGACCCCAGAGAGGCCCACAAATCAAAAGCAATGGTGAAGACAAATTCCTTGAGACTTGCAATCTTAAGGGACAACTCCATTTCTTATTTTTTTAAATGCTGGGGGGTAGCAGTTGCCATTGTTAAACACCATTGGAGCTCATCCTATTTAGATAATGTTGTGTAAACAAACCTCTAGTAAAAACCCAAGGCTAGAATTCCCACTTACTCAGGATGCCATTCTTCTCGTACAAAGGTCAACAATCCAAAGCAGGAAGTGCACTGAATTTCAGACTACCAGACAGGCTCAACTAGGACATATTTCTGATGGAAGTTTACAGTCTCTCCTCTGACAGAAACATTGGTGCATGACTATACACCAGGATCTGGAGCCAGTCAACCCCACCAGCTGTAATTCCTTGCCTTCAACACCTTCCACAAACCTGAGACATATGAATTCCACCTAAAGACCACACCATGGAAGAGAGGAGCGCTGCCAAAGACCAGTAATCATTTCACATACGTTTTCCTGTCAGTGAATCAGAACTTTCTGACAACCACCAAAAATCTCCATTGCCCACACACTGCCATCAAATACATTCTTAAGCAATTATAAGAAATCACATGCCATCAATCAAACACAATCCACCAGTCATGGAGCAATCTTTTATTGCCCTCTCATTTTAAATCTAATCCCTCCTGCAAGGCTATTTGCCCAAATTATTAGGAACTTTCAAACTTTCAGTCTTTATTCCTGGAAAACTTACTCTGCTCCTAATGTCTCTGCACTTGATGTATCTACAGCCTTTTTTTTAGATTAGCCTGTATTAAGGATATGTGTTCTGCACAGTCTCCTTCAGAGGCTCACTACACCAGAATTCTGGACAGGGCTGCATTTTACCAATTCTAGAAGGGAACTGAAACATGAGATGCTGACATCTGAGGCATTAACTTTCAACCACATGACTGGACAGGAAAGAACCTCTTAAGAGAAATTAAGGGAAAAAAAAAAAACAAACTAAACTAAAAACAGTCCGTAAGACATGGAAGGAAATGAAGGCCTAAAGATTTTGCTTGAGAACACTCAGCAAACTGGTCAAATTATTATTTGCCAAAGAAACAAAATGAATCTTCAAGGATATTGTTCTAGTGCAACATTCACAGACAGGACATCCCTTATCCCACAGTTTTCCTCATTGTAGAATACCTAACAAAACCTCATTCCAGTAGCAGAATAAATATGGAGAAGTAACTAATTTACTAAGAAGAAGTATGCTTATTTAAAATTTTCTTTATATCCAGTACTTCTGTACTGAATGTGTTTAGACTTAAAGAGTCTTTAATTTTTGTAAAGTTTTTAGTAGCAGACTTAGCTACTGAATAATGAAAGTTTTCCCAAGCCTTCTCACTCCTCCAGCATCATAAAACCACAAGTTTACAAATATTGCTATGATCAGAACCATATACCAACAAAGAGTGTTTCTCCCTAGCCTTTGAAGGTTAAAAAAATTCCTAAGTCTCTCATAATAGCTAGACAGCTTTTTTCTACCAAGTTATTGTCATATGTTTATTCTGGAATTAACTCTCAAAAGCAAACAAAATTCTTTAATAAGATTCCTTGTCAATTCCATCCTTATTTCTGACATAGGAACATAATAGTAACCCGAGTTACGTATCGCCATGTGGTAACAGCCAAATCCTACCACATTTTCTGAAAAAAATCTCTTTAAACTCATCTTTCTTATCTCTTGATTAAGACTTGGTTCAAAAAAGAAAAAAAACACACCCTCCTCTACCCCAACTCCATTATTAAGTCCTTCCATTGGCTTCTACTCAAGCAACACATAGTGTTCAGCCTTCTTAACTTTAAGGCAACCATACCCACCCTTAGTTACTTGCTTTTGATAATCTCTATTCCATTCCTAAACCATCAACTTTTGCATTACCTTTATTTTCCATTCCTTGGGAGCGTCTCTTTCTTGCATGGAGGCTAAACAGATTTCTTGAGAAATCACCATACCAAGAATCCACCTAATGTTTTAATTCAAATGGTCCAAGAAAAATCAATTGTGTTCTCCTTTAGAAAAAGTATTAGAATTCAAAATACTATTGCCTTTTTTAACTCATTTCTAAAGTAAAATGCAAATCTGACTGCCTCATTTCAATTTATTTTGAAGTAGAACACTCATTTGTCTTTTGTGACGGTTTTTACACAGTCAAGATAACTCCTCCCCAGTTTATAAACTATAAGTGAATAAAGGACATTTCTACAGTTATTCACAATATTCCAGTCAATAAAAACACTACAGCAACAAGCTTGCTAAGTATTACTTCACTAGTCCACTCAATCTTGCTTTTCATCCTGGCCACAGAAGGAAAGAGGGCACCTATGACATTGTAGAAGCCTAGTCCTGTGAGAAATCTCAGTACTTCTGAAAAAATTGAGGTATGAGTACATACCAAGAAGTCAGAAGACAACAAAATAAGGAACCACAGTAGTTCTTGAATTTATTTCCCTCTACTTTCTTCCATTTCCTCATTCTTAAGAGTCAAATACAACAATTGCTGTACTTTTTTTGACTACATACTCCTACTTCCAAGGTTTTTTTGGTGTTACAAAGACATGACTAAGTGTGGTTACTGCTGTTCATTTACAACTATTTTTGGATTCAATTCCTCTTGGACAGGTGCCTTTTACTATTGCCACAGTTACAGTACACAGAAGCCAAGAAGCAACTGCTGCAGAAACAGAATCCTCTTCCCATATTGGTATCAGGACTGGGCACCCACACTTGGCAGGAGTAACATGTGAATGCTTACTGTAAAATGAGAACAGCTCAGTCCATAATGGTCATATGTATCATCATGAGCCTGAATTCACCCACTGATTAACCCTGTGCCCTCATTTACTAGAGGGCTTTAAATCCCTGAAAAATTAGAAAGTTAAAAATAGATTTTTTTTCTCTACCAAAATTCTAGGACATCCTTTACATAATCTTCAAGCCTTCTGAAGCAGTTAATGGAAATGACTGCTCATACACTTTTTTTTAAGTATGAAAGTATTTTGGGACAATTCTATCATGCACTTAGAACTAAATCTTCCTGTGCTCAAATGTTGTAGGTATTTTTAGGTCACAAAGCAGGTTTTTCACATTCTAAACAGTATTTGTTTTCACATCAGGTTGACTGTCTCTACTTGATATATTTGATATATTCAGTCATATATTAAAAAGTGGAAAGTTTCTCATGTGACATTTAAGAATCTTGGGAGAAATAATTCCCCACCCCAACCTCTCCAAATACTAGGGCTCCTTTTTCACAAAAAAGTTCACACTCCCAAAATCCTAAAAACATCAGTTTCTTTGGCCAAAGCAGGACATGTTTTAGCCTAGAACATGTATATTTTCACATTTTTAATATGTAGGTCCAATATCAAGTTTTCTCAGTCAATTCTATAGATATTTACATGCATTACAGCTCAGCCACTGCTTGTCATAGAAAGGACCTGAAACTACTCTACAAAAGACCAGACACTTCAGATGCACATTTTTAAAAGGAAGTAATATCTGTGCCTAGAGCAACCTTAAGTTCTGAACTGACAGTAATTCATGCCTTCATCTCCCATATGATGGAACAGGATATCAAATTTTACTTCTTTTTAGCACTCATAATGTAAGCATACCCAACAATTTACTGTGCTGAATTACTCACAAGGTCTGTGATTTGTTTTCTCTCCAAAGAAATAAGCCTTTAAGCAGATAAATCAGTGAGGCACAAAACACAGTGTAGAGATTAGCAACTTACAAAAAAATAAGTAAGCTTTGCCACCTTTCAGGCAAAATTGTTTCCATTTAAAATAAATTCTGTAATCTAAAATGTATTCTCTCACAGTATTAAAAAATTAATTCCCCTATCACTTTGTGCCCCGTACTTTTCTCATACTGCAAGACATGTCCTGAAAAGGCACCGTTTTCTTTGTATTCCCAACTAAGACAGTCACACATAAAATACCTATTTGCTAATTGTTCATGTAAATAGAGACAAACACCTATGAGTACTCCTTTAATTCTGTCTATTAAGATTGCTAAATAAAATATTAACTGCAATTAATACAGTGAAACAGAAAAAAATTCCTTCTTAATCTAAACAGAGACCACACTTGTTTCTGACTGATGTGAGGCTGAGCTTCTAAACTATCCCCAAAGAATCAGAAAATAAAGCATGCAGTTGAGAAAGAAAATTAATTGCTGTTGTTCATGTAATAATTATGTCTTGTATAAAGACATGGATACTAAGGTCACATTGAGAAACATGCTTTTCTTGTAGAGGACTCTCAAACTACTAAGATTGAGGGGTTTTATTATCTTTACCGTGTAAAAACCATTTCTCTTTGGAACCAACACAGTAAAAATGGTTTTGAAATTTGCCTCTCCCTGTAGTGAGGTACACAACACTACAAAATAAAACTTTTATCCAAAATATTACTAAATCAACCAAGTCACATATGTTCACCATTTATTTCTAAAAAAATCTGATTGACTTAGGTACCTCTCAGACACCAGAAAACTTCCAATCCAGGATCCCAGCTGTTACATTTAACAGGAAATGTGTAACAAATGTCCTTATCTTAAAAAGCAATGCAATTTAAAAAATTACATTTTCAGTAATCCAGCAGCAAATATTCATAGCAACTGTAATATTAAATAGTATCAACTAGCCCTAGGTACAGTTAGAAAAGCCTTTTGGCAAATGCACATGCACTTCCCCTTTTCATCAGGGATCCATTTCTATCCTGTCAAAGCCACCTCAGCTACAAATAGACATGCTCCTTTTAAGGTGGCACATTCCTTCTGAACTTGCACAAAGTAACTGTAGATTAGCTGCATACAGCAGAACATGAATTCTCTTCAGTTTTAGGAATCACAAAGCAAGTATTGCTTGCTAGATGTCTTTATTTTCCTTTAACAAAATACACAAAGGCACAAAATTCACTTATATCTTGTCATTATAGTACAGGTATAAATAGTGCTTTGTATTCAAGTACAATCAAGTGCAGAGACTTCTTATATTTCATGTAAACACAAAACAGTTTTGCATGTAGGTGCCTCTGGTTCATCTGCAACGCAAACACCAAAGGAGATGCCATTTATCCAAGTGCCATTTAACTGAATTCTGTCAGAAGTTAGACAATGAATAATATTAACAGCACTGCATTGACACTTCCATATGCTTAAGTCAAACGTTGGATGACACTGTAGCTTGTAAACATCTGTGTATTAAACGTGTACTCAATCCATTTGAACAGGGCAGCATAAAAAGCATCTTTAGTTCACTAGACCAAACCTACTAGGTCAATTGCCATCAGTAATTGTTCTTAATGTGTGACAGCTAGAGAGATGTCAAATTGTAAGTCACCCTTAGCAAAGCTTGTACTTTGAAGTTTTTAAATATGCAAACTGAACAAGGGCTACAACTGTTAGACTTCAACCAACTACACATTCTATGTGTTAACTTAAAGAGACATGCTGAATTTACAATACCCACTCTACACATAGCTTTGACACACTGTGGCAGTTGAGGCAGTTTAAGCCCAAGCAAGATTTTTAAGTTGTACCATTAAAAAAAGCTCACCTGAATAGTAACAACAGGCATGAACAAAGCTAAAAACTAGCTACAGAAGGCACTTGAAGTATTTTATTCTGCTTTTATTAAAGATTCTTCACTTTGTTCAGCTGAAGTAGACTCTGAAATAGCCTCTTCAGTTGTTGAAATGTTTTCTGCTTCTTCTTTTTCGACTTCTTCAGCTAGCTTATCATTTAGATGCTCAGAACTTGGTGCTTTATCATCTGTGTCATTTGTCTCAACGAGCCGGACTCCATCATCTTCAGATTCTGTGAAAAGAAAAATTACAAAATAGCCATTTGCAGAAATTAAGAGGCAACTAATATTATTAAAAACAAATTAAACATTCTGCAATTGCATACAGGTTTTGACTAGTAACTGCATGACATTCTCAAGCCATAAAAGCTTTGGTTTTTCTAAGATGGTCACATGTAAAACAATTAAAATTTAAGGGAAAAAATACTATGGAAAAGAGCTTAGCTGTCACTAAGGTATTACTTGCATATGTTCATCCTCAACAGAAGCCTTCTAAACTTGTTTACTGAAGTGAGATGTTAAAAAAACTATGGCAATTCAGTTTCTTTGTCTTTGCTAATGTATTTCACCAGCTGTTGAACTTTTTTTATAACAGTTCAATCTGTACACAAACTAAAACATTCTTCTTGATTGAAATTACTTTAAACATAAGGAGTCTGATAATCAGGGAAAAAAACCAAATATATCAAACCAGCAAATGAAAATTATTGCATATTCTGTCTTCCCTGGGGTAGCGTAGGATGGTTGCACAGGAGTGAGTATACTTACTCTTCATCTAGGGTGGGAATTTCTTTGATAACAAGCATATTTTTAAAATCAAAAACATTTATTCTAAGTACTGCCTCTAAAGAAGTAGATTCTAGCTTCCCAGCAAGACTTCAGTAGCATAAGAAAAGTAAGAGTCATATTTTGAAATAAGCATAAGCACTGAAAAACTGAATGTAGTGTTGCACTAAATGACACAAAGGTACTGCAGAATGGTATTGCTGATGGCAGTTGATTTATTGACCAGTATTACTCAGTACTATGCAGTACTAATACATACTGTGAAGGGGAACAGTGTGCAAAATTGAAAGTTACAGCTCAAAAAATGTTAGCCTTATCAAATGTTTCTAATTCCATAGAGTGGTTTGGGTTAGAAGCAGCCTTAAAGATCAATCTGATTCCAACCTTCCCCTAGACCAAATTGCTCAAAGCCCCATCCTTCCAGGGATGGGGCAGCCACAGCTTCTCTGGGCAGCCTGTTACAGTGTCTCATCCCTCTTCACAGTGAAAAATTCCTTCCCAATACCTCATCTAAACCTACTCTTTCAGTTCCTATCTCTTCTGCCTTGTCCTATCACTACATGCCCTTGGATCATGTCCCTCTCCAGCTTTCTTGAGCCCCTCTAGATCCTGGAAGGCACTCTATGGTCTCCCCAAAGCCTTCTCTTCTCCAGGCTGCACAGCTCCAACCCTCTCAGCCTGTCATCACAGGACAGGTGCTCCAGCCCTCTGGCCCTGTTTGTGGCCCTCTTCCAGACTTGCTCCAAAAGGAGAATATCCTTCTTATGCCAGGGGCCTGTTGTGGTTTAACCCAGCCTGCAGCTGGGTTGCAGACCAGACACTTGCTTACTCCCCCACCCACCCTCCTGCCACCCTGGTGGGATGGGAAGGAGAATAACAGTAAAAGTTAAACCCCTAGGTTAAAATCAGAATAGCCTAATAATGAAGAGAAAGGGGAAAAAATTAAACATATGTGATGCCAAATACAATGGCAGGACATGGTTGACTCTCTGGGCTACAATCACACATTGCCAGGTTATGCTGAGATTCTTGCCAACCAACATCCTCACATCCTTCTCCTCAGGGCTGCTCTCAATTCATTCTCTGCTCAGCCTGTACTTGAGCTTGGGATTGCCTTGATCCAGATGCAGGAGCTTAGACATGGCCTTGTTGAACTTCATGAGGTTCACAGTCCCACCTCTCCAGCCTCTCAAGATCCTTTTGGATGGAATCCCTGCCCTGCACCACACAGCTCAGCATCATCAGCAAACCTGCTGAATTGTGCCCAAGCCCACTGTCCATGTTCCTGACAAAGACATCAAGCAGCACTGGTCCCAATATCAACCTCTCAGAAAACAAGTGTCAGTCAAATGTCACATGTTCATGTTGATCAGAACATGTAGGGTAGAAGTGTGAAAGTAAATCAGACTGCCTCAGGCTGATACAGAATTCAAGCAGAGCTGAAAGTTTTAGAAGCTCTGGCTTCTTGGCCCATGACTGAGTAGAAGAGCTGTTGCACACCCCTGTCCAGCAGACCTTGTACAAAAGCCATCTGTCACCAAGAACTGAAGACCTCTTTCCACACAAACCTCTGCCTAGCTAGTTCCAGGCTTCATTTCAGACTGCTCAGAGCAGCCCAGCTTCTCCATCGTTTTCTCAGACTGGATCTTTCATTTTAGCAAGTCTGTAGCTGACTCACCTCCTGATTCTTTCCCTGCTGTCTCAACCACAAGCTGCTCAACACCTGCCCTGGCTTCTTGTTAAAAATTTTTCAACCCTCCTATTTCTGCCCAAGCAAATTAATGTTCCCAGTTATTTTCCAAGCCATCCCACTCTCTTCTGCTCCTTAATTTCCATCTTGATCCCATCTCTGTCTGTACTCAATCTTTATCTTCCAACTGTCAGTTTTCTTTCTGTCTCATCTCTGCATTTTTTCTTCTGCCTCGAATTCTATGAATAAGTTTGTGCATTTTCCTGCTCCAATCCCTCCACACTTGAGTTACATTCCTTTATTGCTGGTCTTCAGGCTTGAGTCAAAAAAGTAAAGAGATTGTTTGCTCAGTCTGATCAGAAGGATGCTAAGCATTTATAACATTTTTGATGTAAAACCCAGGGACAATCACAGCCATCAGCAGAAGCTTCTAATGGAAAGGAGAAAACCTGAAGAAATGCATATTCTAACTATAATCAAAAGAACAGGACAGTGGTCACATTTTTATATTCCACTAAAAGGTATGGAGACACTGCTTATTTAAACAAAAATTGTCAGGTATTGTATGAGTTTTCCTTTCAGTATGGTCTTGGGCAAACTAACTGAAACTCTTGAAACTCTACAGAATTTATAGTAATACAAATTTGCATGAAAAATTTTGGTCTTATAATGCAGTCTGGGAAAGTTACAAGAAACTAAAGAGCAGGTCCCTTAAACGAGTAGCCAGGGCATTCACAGTAAGTGATGCTAACTCCAACCACAAACATGATCAGTCTCATTAAAAATATATAGTGATTCCATTTTAAATACACCAATTACTGGAAAGCTTGCCTAAAGTCAACCTGATTTAAATAGTGCATGAATAAAATCTTTGTAAGAGCAGCAGCCAACAAGTGAAAGTTCTGACAACAAACTTTAAAAGATGACAAAAGACAATTTAAGTGTTCTTGATGAGGAATACTTAATCCATCATTTAACCACAGAATGTAGCTTCACCCACATGATCTTAACAGCAAAAACAGCCCTACACTTGCTGCACATTTAAGAGCTGCAACAATGCAACCTTAAAAAACCCACTCCTGGCTACAGCAGCTTTTCCCCTCAACACTCAAGCTTAGTGATTAGTACTTAGAACGTATATGCACTTCACACTGTAACAAGTCAGCCATTCTTGCTCCTGTTGCAGAGAGTATTTCAATGAGTAACCAGTGAAATCATAATACTGCATCACTATTAAATTAACTAGAAAATGCCTATTCAGTGGGAATTCATAAAAATAGTGTAATACCTCTAAAATAAAGCTGCTTGTGCTTTCAAGTAGCTTTGGGACAAGTATTCTTCACTACTACAGCTCTCCTTTAAGATAGATTTCTACATAGTGCCACCTGTCTGAGCACTTTTAAAGAACACGTGTCTCACAGTAATCTGTTAGCGGCTTTGGTGTCACAGAAAGCTCTTGTGAAGCCTTTGAAACAAGTCAGAGAACATGTCCTACCAAAAAGGCAATTCAAAAGGCATTTTTTTGTTCAGCAAAACTGAACTGTGGTTGACTGGAAACATAATACATTTTTAAATCAAAAGAATTTGTTTACAAGTTATTAAAGTCAAGGTGAGCTGATTTAAATCTACTTGAGAAATCGAGTTCTAGACATATTAGTCCTTTGTCTTCCATCAGTTTCATTGCTAGAAAAGCTTTCTGCAACACTTGCCCAAAGCCAAGCTCCATTTATGGTAGAACTCACAATGAGCACACACTTGAAATGTCATTATTTCTGGCAGAGATCATTATTGTGACCCCTTCCGTTGAACAAGCCAGGTTTCTGCACCTGCCTTTATAATGGAAACCCTTTCAAACATACTAGCAGTTGCTGTATTCCAAGAATCCTTACAAGTGACAGTATTAAGTAATCATAAAAATATTTGAGCTAGATGACCAAGGAATCCCATACAAATCTAGAGACATCACATAAAGTAGTCCACAAAGTGTTTCACCGCTGTGGTGAAGTCTGAAGTTCAAATCTTCATCTAATGAAGACCTCTAAATATCAACATCAGACATTCAACACAAAAGACTGATGCAGTTAATTTTTTTTCAAAATACTGTGAAAATAAATTTGTTTCAAAATACTGTGAAATGCTAAACCTGAATCAAGAAGAGCATAACAGTACTAAATAAAGGCAAGACAAAATTAATCCAAAGGCTAAAGTGCTTCCTGTTGGCTCTTTCAATATGATCCAAACATTGATACATTTAAGATACCTACATGAGAGAACCAACTAGCCTTTGATGGGAAGAGGAGGGGATCAAAATCAAGCCATTTATGGGAAAGGTAAGAAAAGAGCTGAAGTTTATTGCTTCACTCTGGTACTTAAATTTCCTAAATTAATCTGCTGAATAAGGAAGCATGATGCTTGTGCCAGTAATCTGCACCAGACTGACAGCTGATGACTCCATTTTCCAGAGGTTTAAAACAAAATTTCAAGTTCAGTGCCAATGGCACTCTCCATAAGCATTCTTCAGATCTCTTAACCACAGGAGTAGCATGTAACATGCCTGTCACTACATGAGCACACAACTGGAAAAAAGATTCAGCTTCATGCTCTACCCATTAGCTAAAGTAGCTGACTGGTAATAAATATTTATTGCATTTCTTTATCACATTATTTTGCCATTTCCTTGAGCTACACAGCTATGGTATAAATGAATTACAGGTAAGAGTTGTACTCCCCTGTGTTGCCAGCATTGTGGTGAAGTTGGTTTCCTGATGTTAATATTTGTCTACATCTGTAAGTGAAGATATATTCTCTATTCTTGCTATGACAGCAGCTATTTTACTGTGGTGAACAAAAACCTTCCCCAGAGCTGTACCTTAATGACAGCTTCATACCTTAAAACTTACAATCAAGGAATGTGTTCATTTATTAATAAACCCCAACTGCATGTAAGCAGTTATGTTTCACATTACAGTTCCAGTGGAAAAGTGATTTAGTGAAAATATTTTCTCATTGAGAAGAGATTCCTTTGTGACAAGTCACAGGCAGGCACTGGCCTCCTCTAAATCAACACAACATTTCTCAGAGCTATGTAAAGTACTAAGATATACTCTATTTCTGGCTGCTTAGTAATTATCAAAACAGAATGGTTTGTATCATCTTGGAGAATAAACATTCAGAAAATATCTGCTATTTAACATTGAAAACCACAAGTCTGTATACCACTCACTTACTTACACTTGAGCAAAATCTTACCATCTACTTCCTATCAGAAAAAGACAACTGGACAATGAAGCTCACAGCAGTTTCTTTTCCTGCTGTTTTTAAATAAAGCAGCACATTAATACAAGACCACATCAGAAAAAAAACCAAGTCATTTTCATTGTTAAAGGTAAATTGGTTAAAATCATATTTACTGCAATAAATCCATCCTATTTTTCTGCTGAAATGTTTGATAAAATTCTGCTTCTCTAAAAAGCAACTTATCTCACAGTTTTCATTCCTACATCTGAACTGGTTAATTGCAATCTCACAGTAATGCTTCAGATTTTACATTCTTTACAACAACTGTAGACAGACTCAGCAGCTCAGACCTTTATAGGCATAGGTTCATAATAATTTCTTTCAATGATAATACCAGATTAATTAGCAAGCACATCTCCTTATCTCTCTCTAAAAACCTGCAGTAATGGATAATATTCAAAAACCCGTGAGGCACATGCCTCCAAGAATTGAACAGCCCTCTTCAAGGACCTCTCTACTTGAGTCAGACAGAAGAAAACAAGCACATTTAAAGATCCCAGAAACAAAGTATGCCTTTTTCTGTAAGAATCTTCTAAGTTCAAAAGTAGAAGCTACCCACAAGAAGCTACCCTCCCCTTGCTAAAAAAATAACACCAGAATTTAAGGGCAAATGAGATAATTTCATTGGCTCCGTTTCATCCATTTGATTTCAGGCTTACTTTCATGCCAGTAGCAGCACTTTTACTGAGGTAAGAGTGCACTATGGTACAGGAAAAGAAAGCAAGTTTTCACTACAATGCACCCTCATGAGGCCATACCCAGAGACTGCCACCTCTAAATATGACTTCCCTACTGGTTTTGTGTAGCCTTCCTATGTCAGAAAGTAACACCCAATGTTATTTTGTACTCTCTGCTCAAAATAATCCAGCAGAAGCACTCTATTACACTCTGACAGTTTCCCACAGTTGGGTGTTTCCAGTCTGAACCTCAGGGCTGCACACTGTCTGTTAGTTTTCCTCCAGGATCCCTGCTTAAGCTAACAAAGTCCCATCAAGCACTCAACAGCACAACTAACTGGAGATCCTCTGGTCTGAAATTATGATTTCTGGAGTCTTTTAAAACACTGCATCTTCCTGCTGGCTGTACACCAGATGCCTACTGTATCTGTAGACTATAAAACGTCTCAAAAGGAACTATGTTAAATTAAAATTGACAATTTGTCTTTGAACTACCTGAAATTAAACAAGGCAGTTTTACTAGATTTTCCTGCCCTGAGGAAAAGAGCAAAAGGAACAAAGGCAGAAATTCCAACACACCTCAATCAAATGACCTGCCAAACACAGTGAAAGTTAACTACTTTGGGACATACTCCCTCCTTAACGATTTCTGTAATTTACAGCCTTTTCTATCCGTTTGTCAGTAACACTAGAGTGAAAAAATATGTTATGCCATCATTTGCACAAAATAATGAGAAATATGAAGACATTTTAGGGTACAGGAAAGAAGACACTACTATCAACAACCTAAGCTAGGACCAGAGACAAGAACTGAAAAAAAAAATACAAACTGCACTTCTTATGAAATCAGAATAAACTGTACTATTTCAATTAGAATGGACCAACAACAATCATCTAGATCAACTGCCTACCCAACTGAGGGTTGATCAAAAGCTAAAGCATGTTAAGGGCATTGACCTTTAACACTGACAGACTCTGGTCACTGATCACCTCACCAGGAACCCTGTTTGGAGCAGTGTTTGAGTACTTCAGCTGTTGTCATTCTTACCAGAAAACTTAGCTCAACAGAGAGCTAGATGACAGTGAATTTCATTAAACATTTGGAAAAGAGCAGACTTCATGAGATCAGTACTTACCTTTTGCCTGTTCAGTCTCCTGGGGCCTTCTCTCTCTGGGTTCCAGAGGCTCCATTTGAGATCGCAATTCTGTAGTTGGCCTTTTTTCAAAACTGAAGTCTGGAAGTCGTGGAGCCTGAGGTCTAGTTTTTCTTGCAGGATTCAGGAAGAAGCAGTAGGCACATCTAAATGCTATACCACAAAGCACACCCAGTAAGCAGCCTCACTAATTAGCTTCACATTTCACCTTTATTCCTACACTATATTCTGATGCTTTAAAATACTAAAACCAGTTAACTAAGTGACTATGAGTACCAGACAGCACCTCCACCAAATTTACATAAGTTGTTCTATATAAGTCCTTTTTTAAATTCAGCAGACAGTTGGTTTTTAGAAACCTGCTTGCTTTCAGCTCTGCTGAACTGAGTACTGCCCAACACTGTGAAAGATTCAACCACAATGAACAAAATCATGCAATTCAGTAGTGCCAGATGCTGCCACATGGTGTTGTTCTATTCTTTCCTACAAAAGAATTAAGTTGGCAGATTATTTTTCCCCTACCCTTAAGACACCACTTTCCTCACACTCTGATGTTAGGAAGTGTTAGGAGATGTTAGGAATTCCATAGGGTATGTTTCACTCTGCTTTCTGAGGAGCATTCTGCTCCAGTGGTGCTTAATTAAGAAAAGAAAAAGCTGGTTTGTTTTGCAGAAGTACTGGATATCATTTAATACTTTAAATAACTCTTTTAAATAACTCTTTTTGTCCTCCCCCACTCTCATCAAGACAAGGGGGGAAGTGGCAGTTTCTGGTACAGTTGAGTTGTGAACTCATAAGAACTAAGATAACATATAGACTACTTATCTTTGGTTTCATAGGAAACATTTAGCTTATTGTTACAATGCAGTATATTTACTCATAAAAGTAAACAAAACAAAATGAAATAGAAGATTTATCTAGGAATCCCTAGTTTCTTAAGTATCAGGCTTACACTTGTGGTAGAAAGCAGGCAATATACAACATCTGTGTTCAATAAAGAGCTGTGTCTGTCTTAAGTTATTGTCAGCCATAAATTCACATATAGGCCCCTAGGGCTTGTTCCCACTCTTTTTCCAATACACCCCCAAGATCTTCTTGCCAAAGGAAAATTTAGTTTAAGTTCTGGTGAAAGAGGCACACTTTAATGTCAGATAGTTTCTCAACATAAAACCCTTCTGAGAACCATTCATAGCCAGTAGCAATGTTCAGGGATGTATTGGAGGAAGCTTATTTCTACTGAATAGTTTTCTACACATAAAATCCATGACCTGAAGGTTGCAATAAAGTACTTCTCCAAGCCTTGAAGTAAATCTTAAAAAACAGAGTAATAAGTTAACAAAAAATGTTCCCACATGAAGTGGTACTTCACAATGTCAGCTAAGTACTCAGCTGCAGCCAAAATGAAGTATGATGCATGTTTGTTTGTTATGAAACATTAGCCAAGTAATACAGTCTAAAAAAGGATTAGCTCTTACCTATGTATTCAAACTCCTCCTTCAAAGCCATACCATTGTGAGAAAAACATTGCTGACATATAAGGGCATACCTAGAAAACATGAATAATATATAGTAACATACCTTGAAGCAATAGCACGCTTAAGGGAGATTTTACCTCACATATTGGCTAATATCCTAGACCTTTTCTTCCAAAAAGTCATTTCCACAATGAAATTATTAACCTTGAAAGCAAACTAAATCTGTAGATTAAATAATACTTTGTGAAGTTGCTTTAATCACAGTGAAATAGTCTCAGCTGCACTTTAAACTACAGTTCAACATATTTTTAGTATCATCAGTGTCAGAAAATACCATCCAAATAAAGCCTTTATTTCATTAGAATACAGTTAATATGAAAAGTAAGCATAGTAAACATGTTAAGTTCTGATATGTTTGGACAATTCTGAAAGCAACCTGAAAGACATTTATAACAGATATAAAGCTAAAGTGCTGAGGCAAATGTTTTCTCTTTTTTTAGTTCAAAACATAAGCCATTCACCCACTTGAGCACAGCTCTTTCTTTGTATCACACAGCTAATATTACTCAGAACAGAGATTAGGTTTGCCCAAATATCACCAGCTTCCCTGCAAAGATATTTCAAGTGAAGCATTAAGAGCGAGCCATTTCACAATTACGAAAATTTTGGACAGTTCACTTACAACTCTTTTAACCTTGACATGGCTAAAACAAAAAGGTTAAGAAGCTTCCTTTCCCCTAAGTGTTTAGGTATTTCTCAAAGAACATTTACCTGTTCTGAGGACCATCACCAACCAAATATTCAATAACTCTATCCACAACTCCTCTTTCTCGAGGAAGAACAGGTCTTGCCAAAGGGGGGCCTGGAGGATGAAGACCTAGAACATAAATTATATCAAAATTATTTTCCACTGTATAAATATGTATTATATTTTATTGTGTGTGCTAGTGTAACAAAATAATTACATTGACTTAATATACACGGATATATTTCTTAGTCCACTCAGAAAGCTGTAAGATTCTTCAATCCACAAGAGCTCAAAATTCTTCTGCTGCTCCTTCAGCTTATAATTTTATTAAATCACTTCATTTTTACACCATGGACATGTAATTAAATTTATAATTTTTAACAAACTTTACGTATAAATAGTATTCAATTGTTAACAAATAGAGGCTTTTTAAGAAAGAAAAAATTAACTAAGTTATCTTCATGGACACACAACTCTGCAAATTTACACCAATAAATCTGCCAAAATCAATGGAAACAGTAGAAGAACTAGAGATCAGGGCAACCTGGTATGCTGGAAGGTGTCCTGTCCATGGCATGGGTGGTTTCAAAGAGATTATCTTTAAGATCCCTTAAAATCCAAACCATTCTATGGTTTTATGAAGATGTCAGAAATATCTCCTGGTTTCTGTGTAATTACTATACCACATGAGCATACTCTCAGTGTGCATTAAGTCTATACATTAAACCTGTCCAGCTGTTTGTCATGTTGGTAACCCCACATTTAATGACAAGCTGGATGCTTTCAGATTTATGCTTACTCAAAGAAGCCAGAAGGCCACCATAAAGATACTATTTCTCCCATGTATTTAACAAACTACTATCAAAATAAAACTCCTTAAAGAGCAGGTAAGAGCCATGGTTGATTCTTTTTCACCTCTACAAACAACAGTTAAACCAGAACATCAGCACAAGTTTTTCTTTCCACAAAGTTTTAGAACATCTAGTCCATTGTACAAGACCACTGCAAACTACCAATTTCCATTTCTATAGCTTTGAGTTTTTATGTCTCCTTTCTCTTGCAGCCTTAAAACAGAATAAGTTAGGCCTAATGTGAGAAACTCCAGTCTGAGCCATTCCAATGCAATCATTCAAGTAACCAAGTATGGAGAGGAAACATTTACATTTAAGCACAGGAAGTATTATGTTACAGTACTTCAACAAACAGTCCTGAGTCTAAGATAATGCAGCATTTGGGGAAACAGAGGGGAACACTTAAAACCTATTCCCGTACGAATACGAATTACATACAAAGTCCACAAAACCAACTAAACAATGTTGGAGTAGGAACACGAAGCAGTCTTTCAGAACTCTCCAACTGGGACAAAATGGTTCAGCTTCAAGCCACTCCAAGACAAAATTGTGACCCCTTACAAATAAGACTTGGTTTAAACCATTGACAAAATTACTTTTAAAAATGCAAAAGTCCTATGCAAGCTCAAGATAGCTAAGAAGGTTAGACAAAAAAAAAGAAATCAGTGAGTATTAGCAGGTTTCATCCGGAGATGAGCATATGGCAACCTGAAGATCTGTATGAACTAAGTTTATGAAATTCATGAAATGAAATACTGAAGATGCAAAAAGAAACCAGTGTTTTCTCTGAGAAGAGTTCTGGCTTATAACTCTTCTCATTCTATCCAGTAAAAACAAATAGAGAAACATCATGGTTTAAAAGACAGCCTTTAGTGACTACAGAAGTCAGCCAAAGATTCTCTTTTCAATTTGCTATGTGCTTCCAGTGTTCTTCAGGTATGACCAATAAACAAAGAGGAAGCTAAAGGGTAACAAACTAAAATCACTGTCTCAATATACAAACATAAAACAGAAAAACACGCTGTCTAAAAATGCAAAATAGGATTTTTTAAAAATCCAAACAAAGGACAACTGAGAGAGTATAGTCTTTTAGTATGTTGAATTAATTCAGAAGGACATTTAATTGAAAGATATTGTGTTAAAAACATTCGACTTCAAGCTTTTCAGGATTGTTTAGATCTCATTTTTTTATAGCAATTTAGCCAGGGACAGGATCAGGACATGCGCAGTCCTAGCTTCCAGCACGTAGATAAGCATTAACATAGAAGTAACATCTATCTCCTAAGCAGAGAACTCACAGAATATGCCAAGTAGGAAGGGACCCATCTCAATTGTTGAGTCCAATTCCTGGCCCTGCACAGGACACCCCAAAAATCACACCATGTACCTGAGAGCACAGTCCTAACGCTTCTTGAACTCTGTCAGGCTTGGTGCTGTGATCACTTACACTGGGAGCCCATGCCAGGACTCTGGGTGAAAAACTTTTCCCTGATACCCAACCTAAACCTCCCAGCTCAGCTTTGTGCCATTTCTTTGGGCCCTGCCACTGGCCACCAGAATGAAGAGATCCTAATCTTTACGAGAACAAGAAAACTCATTCAGATAATATTGCAATTTACAGCCCATCACTTAAGTACAAAAAAAATCCATACTCAACACAAATGTTTTTAAAATAGGCCGTACTTTCACAAACAAGAGAAAATAAATTCAGGAGATAAAAATCAGTGAATGCATTTCCAAGTTATCCCTGTATTCTGTCCACAAGTGGGAACCTAGACCAAGAAAACTGTCCCAGCAGCAAGATGGAATAAATTCAGTGCAATATAAATTATATTCTGCTACAGCTGTCCAAAGTAGAGGTCAGGCAAAATTAATTTCCTAGAGCTTTACAAAAACCTGAAACATCCAATACTTCCATCAAAAAAAAAAAGGCTGATACTGCAATAAAATTAAAGTCCTAGAATAATTTTATGAATACCCAGTTTACACTCAAATATTAACTTAGACCTTTATTCAGAAGGCCAAGTTTTCATATAATTTGTAAATCACCAATATATGAAGTTTCTAAAAGTCAATAACCAAAGCAAAAATTAAATAAAGTAGAATGAAACATCACAACACATTCCATCAACAACTTCAATTACCTGCCTACTAATAACTCAAACCAACCATCTTGGTTCTCATGCTGTTATGGTCACCAGTAATTAATACAAACATCAAAAGCAATCATTGTAGAAAGACTGGTCACTTTTGCAAAGCTTGGCAAACTCTCAACTACCTGCTGGTTATTAATTTTCAAACATATGGGAGCTCTGTGGTAATACAGGTTAAATTGATTCTCCCCTACAAAATATAGTATAACAAAAATTAATTATTAATCTTCTGTAAAATAGAGGTAATTAAGGCTATTCATATTTGTTGCAGGCCAAGCATAAACTCAGATGCCATATTATTCTTATAGATACTGAATTTATGAACTTTTCACTACAGCTACGTGACTGAGATTTTATATGCCTTGAAGGTTTGGGGAAATTCAAGAAAAGAGAGAGCTTCCATATTAACTGACAATTGCAGGGGCTCCCACTCTTATCTATGGCAAAGTAACATGTTAAGTCAAAATTCCAGCTATTTAGTGGGGAAAAAGTGCCTGTAAGGCATTATCACAAATACTACATTAAAAATTTTAAATCACAAATATTGGCAACTGTCCTTTCTAACAAGTCAGTTACTTGATTTTCCTTCTTCCTCTAAAATATGTATGCAGTAAAGGCTGAATTTCATCCAGCTTATCCAATGTGCCTGAAACTTCCCCTAAGAATAAAGCTATTATACAGCTAATACTTTATTCTACAGTCAGCTTCCTTAAAAAGGAGCATGCAATTTTAAACTCATTATGGAATTTTTGGTAATCAGGTATCAGTAAATGTGATTTGCAACCAAATGACCAATTTCCTGGTGCAAGAAGCTTACTTCTGGTACTTCAAGATAATCAAGACTTACTAATAACTTCACTTTACAGTTCACTTCAGGGATAAAAACAAATATAGCAGCTTCATAACACAGGTAAGGAATTACTAACATCAAATAAGGCTGAATGGAATCTACAGAGAAGGGAGATCACAACTTTCCATGACAACTTTATTCCACAACACTAAACAACAGGAAAAGGCATTTTAACATTCAGCTTCCCAGGAGCTTAGAGAGCAGGTGTCAATATATTATCTACAGCTCTGCTTTTTGATTGTATCATGGAAGTTAGTAAGGAACTACAACAGTAAGACTTAAGTATTTTCAAGTAAAATCAGGAACACAGGGCAGAGAAATAAATCCTTGATCCCTGTACATAGAGCAAAGAACTACTCCACGTTAAACAGGTGCTCACGAGATTCCTGGCAAGTTGTGCCCCTTCTATTTTCAAGACAGCATTTCATCTCCTTTCTTGCCTTGTGATCCAACTTGTCAAACATCCCACACAGAATGAAAGGCCTGGCACAAACCCACACACAGCTTTACCACCCAACAAGGAAATTGAGAACAAAGCTGCCCACCCAAAATTCTCAAATTTTGCAATCCTTCCAATGCAATTTAGTTAATATTCTGTTTATTAAAAGCCCATCCCAACTGAACACCAAATAGGAAATCAAGGGAAAAACATTTTCAGACTATGAAACCAAATTTTAAGGACTACTCATTCCTACCCAATTTCAATCTGTTGCTAAACCTTGGACTCTTGTACTAAAATAACAATGCCTTTTAATATTCAGCTACAGCACAGACAACTTTTCTGTTGTATTTGGTATTCCACACTTTAATCTAGGAGTATAGGCTGCATGACTATACCTTCTAGAGTAAAAATTTAAATAAACGTCAAGATCCATGCTTAAAAAAATATGTGCAGGGTTTAGTGAGAAGCATGAATGTATTCTGAAAGTGTTCTCCTCTGCACCTGATTTATATAAGCATAGAGCTCTTCTAAACTAAGAACATAAAAAGGTATGCTACATTGTTGACTACAGAATACTGCAAAGTTTTATTGCCATTTAAACAAAGAAGCCATAACAGTTAAATGAGCTCAGGCAATAGGTTTCAGCATCAAAAGGTGCCAGCTGTAAAGAGTTATGGCTAATTGAATATGGAACTCCTGCTTAATCAGATAACTGCTCTGCTATTTCCAAATGAAATGCCATTTCCATACTGTCTGAAAATGGCCTCTTTTATTGGTAACCAGAGAAAACAATATAAACTGTAAATAACATTAAGTGCTGTGTTTACCCATTCCAGGCACTGAAGTAGCAGGGGATCCAGGGTGCCGTGGTAAAACGCTGGATGGCAAGGATGGCGCAGCAGCTCTTCCTGGGAGCCCGCTCACAGCTGGGCCCTCTCTCTGCAGGGTAGGAGATGCTGGAACAGGGGACTTGGGAGAGCCTTGTTTAGGAGTTGCAGGTGGGGGTGCAGAAGCATTTCTTTGAGCTGCAGTCCTCTGACGAATTTCTGACAAGAATACGTACATACTGAATTTAATATCTAGCATAAGCAAGATATTAGTAAAAGTGCATTAATATTGTTATACCAATTAGCAAATTACAGAATCAAACAAAATCAGGAGGGTCTAAAACTAAACATCATCAGCTGAGCATTCAGGTCATAGAAGTAAATACCACACAGAAGTAAATACCAGATAGAATACTATATTTCAATTATCATAACTGTTAAATACTTCAGGCAAAATCCCTCTAGAAGGAAATTAGAAAACAGAATCACAAAGTATCTGCTAAGGCAGAACATTGGACATACAAACAGCTAGACTCAAACCACAATGTATAGAATTGAACACTTTCTACTCCATGGCTTAAAAATGCTTTCAAGTACTTAGCTTTCTATGGGACCAAAACTATTCATGCAGTATCTAATATGCTCAGGTTACATGCCCAGAGTTATGAAAAAAGAAAATCAGATTGGATAAATGAAACCATTCTAAAACCAGAAGGAAATGCTTCATTCCAGTGGTACAGTTTCACTGACCTGTTTCAGTAACCCCATTATAAAACCACCTGCATGGATTCTCACAAAGCAAGAATGGGCTCTGCCAGAACACAACTCTGCTTTTACCTCTTCTCACATCACTACTATTAAATCACAATCATGAAAAACTTAATATTTTTCTTCAGTTGTTCTTACATGAAGCCAAATATCACCAGAGTAACATACCATGGTTTGAATTCTGTAATAGTCATGCAAGCCTGAGATTCACACGCTATTGCAACAAATGAAACAGAAATGTAACCATTGCTTTAAATCTGCTGTTATTTACATGGTTAACAAGTAGCAGGTGGTCTCTACAGGGACACCCCAATAACACCCACACCTAAGGCTGTAATACCCCACAGAGTCAGTGTATAGCACCATGTCACTTTGAACCAGCTTGCACGTCTTCTTCCACAACAAATGGAATTTAACACTACATTTGGACTTTAAAATCACTTCCACGAGTCTCAAGATTAGAGAGATTTTATCTGCTGACTTTGTGTCATGTTGGAAGAGTTTAAATGCTTAGCAGGCAAGTTTCCAAGTCCACTGGCTACCAGCCACTGGAAGATGGGTGTGCTGAGTCTGAAGGAATGATCCCTGTCCCCAAAAGTACTATTCCAGCACGCTAAGCTCCTGCTGTGGGTAGAGGAGGTGAGCATGCTATGTCAGCTGGCAGCAGCTAAGAAAGAGCTGCTATCTCTGAAGCACTAGGTCAAATGTAATGGTTCGTTGGGAATACAGCATCCAGGGCCATGGAAATTGCTACATGCATAGGTTATGGTCTTGCCTACTTATCTGTGCATATAAATAGGGTTAATACACAACAGAAGAAAGAATTAAAAATTCTTTGGAATCGATACTTGAAAAACTACAAGTTCAAAAACTACAGTTTTCCCCCTCACTATTTCAGCTGTTCAGAATCTGGCAACTGGGATTAATTGGTGAGGTAGTTGCAGAAATTCTATCAGCACTTCCTTAGTGACTGGCTTCTGGTTTGAAAACTGCTCCTGTATTGAGAGTTTTATATGAAGTAAGAATTCATTTATGATGAACCTCCTCATTCACATTCTTCAAGACCTTTCTGTGAGAGCCATAAGCAGTAACCTTTCAAGTCTTACTACACTAGGATAACTGCATTCTCTCTATGCCATCCACCAACAGGCATGGCCAATCTCCAAATACAAAATACTGATTAAAACCTATTATTTATAGTCAAGTGTGTGTTATAGTTTCCAGTCTTGTGTTAGTTTTAAAAATTAAGCTAAAAGGCATGCAATTTCTCAAGTCTTCTCAGGTCCACATATGTACAAAAAATGAGTGACAAACATAAAGCCTAATTCCACTTGTTCCAAGATAATTTTAAACATCTGTAAAGACATCTTAGTCCATTCTTTTTTCATTTAAAAAACCCCTTTATTATTGTTTCACATAGAAGAATGTCCAAGACCATTACTGTAAACTCTACATATGGATGTTACTTTCACGTTTTGAAGGCTGTCTTTCTAGATCATGTGGTTTAAGCATATTAATTGTTTAAGAGTACTGAGTCTGTTTCAATAGGCCATGGCTAGATTCACATTTATTCTGAGCCCATAATACATTATTTCTAAGCAATTTCCACGCTGCCTGCAAGAGCTTTGCCCCTTTTGCCTGTTCCTTCTGAAGGGTCATTTTTGGCAAGACTTCTTTAAACTACTTTCAATTAAAAAGATACTGCTACTTTAATGACTCTTTCCCTATATTTTTGTTCCTATAAAGATGCTGAACCAGTACTTTACAGTAAGTATTAGAGAGATATGCTTCAGTAGTTTTAGTTACATTACAGAGTTAAGAATGCAAGACTCATTGCTAGTTTCCACAAAATATTGGGTTATTTACAATGCCTTTTCCCCCCCTCTTCACTTAGAAGTTCACTTGGCTTTCATTCTATTCTGTGATTCATAGATTCATACTTAAGAGAATTTGCCAACCCTCTGCTGCTCCCCAAGTAAGAGAAGTCACCAGAATCTGCATTATGAGAAAGTGAGAAATGTTCTTCTTGGCACAGCCAACAGCCCACCCATCCCAGTATTGCCCTTCACAGAGTGGCTGTAGATGTTATTCAGTGACAAATTCAGACACAAACCTGAATTTCTGATGCTGACATTCCTGATACCATCCCCAGGATCCATAAATGGACAAGGAGAGTACAGCCCTGTCTCATCATTTTAGTATCACATACCAACCCTTTACCCATGAAGTAGGGACTTCCTGCTCTGCACCTCCAATTCCACAATAACAGCCCTAATACTCTTTTGAAGTAACTGAGTATGATCTATATACTTCTCAAATTGCCTTAACATGCAATGTATTAAAAATGAGCCTTTTGCAAAGTTCTAGATTTCCATAATTCCAAGTTGCACAATTTAGCTAAGAAACATGTCCACTGACCTCAACACTAACACAATTTACAGCTACTGCTGATGTAATTTTAATGAAGTTTTTACATTTTCCAAGGATTTTCTTCAGTAATGATATTTGTGTATCCAAAAGTCAACGGCATGAAGACAGATGAATAGCTTAAAATAAAACTTTTATTCTCCAAACACACTACAGTTCAAATTCTGCAGTTACCAGCATTGGACACTTCAGACATAAGCAGACACATTACTTAAGAGGCATCTACTCAACTCATGATTCAGTATGAGCTCTTAGAGACTATTACACTACTGCAGTGGTGAGGCAGTGACATGTTTCATCTTTACAAGCATAACTATTTTATTTTTTCCTGCCTTCAAAACACCTTGATTTTTGTAGAGAATAATATATTATTTTCATAGAGCTACACTACACTGCAGGTCAATATACAGTTTACATAACTTGTTGGCTTTAGTATTGAAGACCAACCAACTTCCTTCCTCCCCATGCCTATATCCATCCCACAGCCTGCAACCATCTTTTATTGCATTATTTTTCATTCAGGTCACAGAGTGATCTCATTTACAATACACCCCTGCTAACAGTCACATTAAAATGAAAAGAGCAGGTACCAACAACAGGATGTTGCTGATGAATATTTCACTGAAAATATATATTTACCCTATTTTTCTCTATGGCCAAAGTACAAAAATATATATATACATTGACTGTACTCCTCAATGAGGACTGTACTCCTCAACTCCTACTGAACAGATACAATTGCATTTAAATTTTCAAATTCCTTTCCTTCTGGATTTTGTGATGTTTTTATACCAAACACAAGATCAACCTAAATAATCTGTTAAAATACCATTACTTATTTCAGCAGTGCATGTCAAAATCACAAAAACTGCAAGAAGAGCTAAACACACAGGAAAATTGGGCTGCTACCAGTTGTTTTTCTAAGAATCAACTATTATGCAATACTGATTAAACCTTTGGACCAATTAGTATGATGTGCAAGCTTACTCATTTCAACCAGTAAGTAAAAGCCATACAAACAAACTAACCTTTCATCAGCTGCCTCATACACAACAGTGTCCAACTTGATTATGTATCAGTTGCTGTTTATCATCTTTTCAAAAAGACTCCATTACAGAGCAAGAAAATTAGCTCTGTTGCTTGGCTAGCTTGTACCCAAAGCAAGCAAAGAGAAGATCAGGGAAGCTTTAATGTTAACTTACTAACAGGTATTTTATTATTCTAAACCACTCTAATTCTATCACATACTACATACAGCAAATTATTCCACAACCACATAAAGGTGTTATCTAGTTACAGTAAGTTATATACTGCACAGAACAGAAGCTAATATTCATTTTTGGCAGATATTTAGTGTGAACAGCCAATAAGCTAGTAGGTTTTTTGATAGCTAAAAATTGAAATAATTACTGCATATAGGAAGAATTATTTGGTAAGTAAACTTTATTTGGAAATTAAGTCCCCATAATTTCACACAAGCCAAAGGCAAGCACAGCTTGTCCCTCTTGAACAATAACGCACCTCCAAACTACAATAGTCTGACTAACTACTTAAATGGGGATAAAAACCTGCACCAATTTCAAAGTCAATGTGTTAGAGAACAGACCAGACGAATTAAAATAAAATTGTGCTGCATATGAAAAAATTTACATTGACTCATAGAATCATTTAGGTTGGAAAAGACCTTTAAGATCATAAAATCCAACCATAAGCCATGACAATTTACAAAATTTATTTTCCAAAACCCTTTCAAAGGTAAACTACACTTTTATTCAGGATCAAGCAAGAATGTCCATACACCCCAAAAAGTTGAATCTGTTTGAAAGAGAATTGTACATTTTCTCAGTTGTGTCCCCACTTAGAGGTTATTGGTTCACACCATGAAAGTCTCAGAGAGCACTCTTTGCAAATCAAACTGTACTAAAAGATTCCTTCCACCAAGCTCATGAGACCAATTTACAGCTAGCTCTAAATAAAAAGTTCTAAGCACAGGTAGTGTGGGCAAACTCCTCAGCCACAACTGTTTTTCACATATCTGTTCATACCACACCTATTAACACAGACCACAGCCTACAGTGATTGGCTCTCAAAAACAACTCTAATTCTCCCAGAACCTCTCCCTCCCAGCCCTTCTATTAACAGTCAAGACACCACCAACACAACACAGCATAGGCTGGATCCAGCTGACCTGCTGTTGTCTGACTGGATCAAAAGCAGGGACACTACACTTTGGAAACCCAAGCATGCACAAGATTAATTAACAGACACTGACCAACTCTCTTCTCACCACTGCTCCTTACACAGCCTAGGCGGAAGAGAAGAGATCAGTCATGTACCTCCTAAGGAGTTTCAAAACTGGTGCTGCTCTCTCTTCATAAAGCCAGAGTGACTAAAGACTTACCACTGTCTAATTTATAGTTAATTATCTGTAGATTTCTACATAGAAACACATTTCCAGGCAGTTTCATCCCCTGGTCAATGTTATTTGCATTCCGCTAAGAGATTTGTCACCCTTCTACAGCACTACTGACGTGACTTCTAACATAGCTAAAGAAGGAGGAATTTTACAAAGAGTTAAAAAAGAGCTAAAACCAGACTACCTACACATTACAGCTATAGCAGAAAATTCTTGGCAACCACCCATGAGCTGTATCAAGGCAGAGAAAAGAACAGGGTGTCAGAATGGCCCTTCAGACTGAACAAAACCATGAATGCTGCAGAAATGGAGTATGGGAAAGACAGGTAAGGAGCAAACTTGAAAAAAAGCTGTAGTGTCTAAGACAACAGAAGAGATTAAAGCTTCACTATTGAGGTACAGCACTGCAACTGTTCACAGTCAATGTCAACAAGTAAGGATAGTTTTAAAGTATTTTCATGGCAATTTGAAGCTAAGCAAGAAGAACAAAACAGAGGATTTGATGATGCAGCTTATAAACGCCTTTGTTAGTAAATCCAGATGCTCTGCACTGAGCAAAACAAGTACTTCGAGTGAAAAATGGAAAAAACAGAATTTTGGTAACTCAGAAGAGTTAAACACAAAGTTGACAATTCTAATACTAAACCAATCTGTATTTTATGAAAAACTACGCATATCACATTCTGCAGTTTATTTTGAGCATCAGCCCTTTCAGGTTATAACAGCAAATTAGTGACAAAGATTGGCCTTAAAGTGTGAGTGCAATCCTCAGTATCAGAGTACCAGGCAGCCTTTATACTGTGCTCATACGAGCATTTTCAGTTTAACTACAGCATATTTCACACTCAACCTTGACAAAAATTAATAGCTGTCTGTCTGCATAAGTATTTGCAAAAATACCACATTTTTAATGTAAGTATTCTACTCTGTGTGAGATCTGTTGAGTTTTGAAAGTTGTGTGAGCGATCTAGAAACAAGGCTTCCTTGAAACACATTCAAGCTTTTCTATTTTATTTTATTCAATGGCACCTTTAAATGGAACAATGTAAACCAGTAAAGAACTGTCCACTCTTTGCAACTACAAAGTAGTTGAATTATGCACCAGCTTCTTATTCCTCTCTGGGCACCAAATAGATGTAGCTTAAACACTGCATTAGGAAAGGTCTAACTAGCCATAAACAGAAACACAATTGAAAAACTAAGTCAGTGAACCTTACACAAGAGTTGAACACACCTTAGTATTCTAGAAAAGTTGCAAGTTTGCCACAAGAAGTTAATTTTCTCTCAGCTTTAACATCAAGCAGCATTAAATATCCTGCTGTCTAGAACATCAGGCTTTAGTAATAGATCCCTTGCCTGAAAAATACAGAACAGTAATGGGCATAGCCTAATGAACAGCCTATTAACCCTAAACAGAGGTCAATTGATCTACAAATTTTATCATAGACAGACTTCTAGACTAGAAATTGCTGTGAAAGATGAGTATCTATGCTAAAGAGCACCCATTTTACAGGGCTATTACCTTGTCCAGGTCTTGGGGTTGCAGATGTTCCAGCAGATGGTAGTTCAGTGTCCTGCCAATTAATGATAAATAACATTATCTGAATGCTCAGCTCCATAGTACCTGTCATATTACATCAGTATCAATAACAAGACTCACCTTTGCACTTGATTCTGGATCAAACCTTTCAAGGATTAGTTTAGCATTCTTGTAGGTTTCCTTTTCCATTACTTCCTCAAGCTGGAAACAGAAAGGTTCCACACATCAATAGATAATTTTTCAAAGTATTTCCCCCCACCATAGCATCCCATTTAGAAGCATCTAATCAACATTACCAAAAGGCAAAGCCCATTCATGAACCAGTAGCATTTCCAGATATCTGAGGATTTGTTGTATTCAATGGACAATAAATTTTGGTTTCAAAAATAGTTTCCAAACTCTAATGGACTACTTGTACTTAACAGCTTTATTGCAAGGAAACACCAAATATTGCTAATTGTTTACATATAATGAGGAGAATAATTACAAGCACCAACTTCAATAATGGAATGTGCAAAAATCTATCAGCCATCATTATTGGAAGTTATTAGACATGACAAGCAAATGACAGGCAATTCCTTAGATTTATTTCCTCATAGCACTTAATGCTATTAATTTAAGGAAGGTCGTTAGCCAAGTGCTTTACAGAATAAAGTCCCTGTGCCAATTAACTGCTGTCAGCATCGATTTTAGATTATTTATTAGCAGAAGCAATTAGCTTGCTGCAAATGCTGTGAAAACTCACTAACTAGAGAACAGCCATGGAATTTGCTCAAATGACTTTAAAGGTTGGATCTACATCTTTACAGCAATTCAAACTGCTTTTCAGAAAAAAAGGAACATGTTAAGAATTTAAATAAAAAAATTTACTGAGAACTATGCATACTTTAGGGAGTGCAATTAAAGCACTTCATTATTACAGCGTTTTATTTACAATGCACTCAAGTGGCTTTATAGCTAATACATGGGCTTAATTAAAAAAAGTAATCACTAGTAAAGTATCATTTTAGTGGTTAACAGCCAACATCAGAAGCAGCTTAACTATGAAACTGAAATAGCTGAAGTTATGACAAATACCTAACACGGATAGAAATTATAATACATTTTACAGTATCTTAAGCAGACCTTTCTTCCTAGATATGCTGACTAATGGCCATGTTCAGCTAAAAGTGGAGACTTTGTTTGTTCTGAAGTTTGCTGTTGGCATAAACTGCAAAACTGAAAAGGTCAGTGGTCAAAAAATTAAATTCTCTCAAACTCATTTATCATTGCTAAAATAACAAATGGTGCAGGTTAACATGAATTTTATGCCATTATTTAGCTAGTGAGAAACTAAAGGTTCAGCCATTGTGCATACACAGACTATGCAGGAGTTTTGCATTTAGACAGACCTCAGGATTACAAATAGACCTCAGAAGCTAAATAAAAATTCACTCCATTTAATGGCTACTGTGTATTCATTTAACACTCACTCCTCCACATTTCTTGAAGTTTGAGGCAAGGAATACTATCCAGGCTGTTAATTAAGGACTGTTGAAACAAAAGGGAGTGAAGAAGGAAGTAAAAATCAATTTCCTAGACTTGTATTTCAGGATCACTTTGGAGTTAACCCACTAACTTCGTAAAACAAATACCACACAGTGCAATAAGAGCAGAATTAATGATCTAATAGGAAAAATAAACTATTTATTGCTTATAGAAGTAAAAACTGTAAGACAGACTTTTATACAAAGGGGTAAGGCTAGTGAGGTGAAGCAGCAAAGTGGGGAAGCTTTAACAGTCAGTGCTAGTATTTGTCTGCCAAATCAAAATTTCAAAAACCCAATTCACTTCACATCAATGAGCATAAAATGTCTACTATTGTCTGTATAGCCAAAAAGAAAAATGAGTAATAACTTTCTGCAGGACAAAGTGACCTTTAGGGGAGAGAAAAACCAGAATGCTCCACCATCACTTGACACTTTCTTTATCTAAAGCACTTCTTGCCACAGAAGTATTAGATAGTATAGTAGCTATTTGTGGATACATAAGTTTTGCAAAAACAGTAACATTATTTTGAAACATAATTCAATTCTCACTACAAGATTCAGATGTTGAAGTTATCCACATCACATAGTTTTTGGATAATTCAACAAGTTACTCTTCATATTTTGAAATTCATATATAGCTTTAAAATTCTAGTAAAGCTAAATTTGAACAAGAATTCAGTATCGCAACTGACTCTTTACAAATTTATTGAAAATATATAGAAATTGTCAGGATTTCTACAGGCATATTCACATTTCTCATGCTTTCACTTATAGAGTATACTTTTCTAAAGCAAATTGAAATTTGGCTGACAATACCAAATAAAGAATCAAAAAGGACAAAGTTTACTTACTGTGAGCAAATCACTGTAAGTACCAGAGGAAAGTAAGAGCTTGTGTAAAATTTAAATATTACTTCTGTGCTTGCATAGCAGAGAAAACTGCCTTTTGTGCCAACACAGGAAGCTCATTTATGAACACAAACCACGACACTGACTTCTGGAACATTCACCATCCTGAAGCATAACCTTGGAAAAGTTAACTTGATGCTGAGCACTAACACAGCAAATTGCTCAACATCTTACTCTTTTTCCATAATAAAGTCTTCTCTGAGATCCAAAACTTCTCCTACAAAATCATTTTCTACTTTCTGCCAAGGGCTAACTCATAGTCTATCCTTATAAATGAAATTATAATGCTGAGCAACTCAAGTCATGAGTGAACTCTCTAAGACAGGTAATACCAGATTCAGCATGATTAATTAAGATCTGATTAATTCCATGAAAAAAAGAAGCACGTTACCCTACTCTCTTCCTAAGAACAATTGTATGGATGAACTCCTTCCCAACAGGCAACCAAACAGAATTCCTGTGGGAATGACATCAGCTGCCTAAACTGAATAGTATGAGTAATGTATTTTAAGCTTCTTGTAATGGCAATTTTAGCAACCAAAGACTTAAGTACTGGCATGGTGCAAACCACTCATTATTCACCATACATGAGTTCATAAATTGGGAATTAGGAATTGCAGTTGGAATTACCTCCAACTACAAGGAGATCTTTGCTAATATTCACATAAAGCCAACTGAACTCATTTCAGTTTACCATTTAAAATACACCAGTACATGTAGCAAAAGATTCATTAAAATCGGAAATGCATCATTTAAGTCACAGTAATTAAGTATTCTCTGAGCAGATCCATGCCAACATTAAAACCACCAAGGCAACTGACCCTTTGTCAGTAAATATGATTTTAAACTGTATTTTGAGTTTCCAGTTGCATATTTTCAGTACTCTAACCAGTTAGACAAAACTGGGCTTGTACAAGAACCAACTCCTAGCACAGCTTTTATCACATACTAAAGTTATGAAAATATCAATGGTTGTCTACACCTAGAAGGCTTAAAACAAAGTTGATTAAAGAGTAATTAATTTGAGTAACAGAACTCATATTCTGCACTTTTTTCCCATTACTAATGTACCTCCAAGACAGCTTTGAAATCAGAATAGCTGGGTATTTTTTCCTAGATTAACACATGCAATTTCTAAACTCTTACCTGAAATGGCCTGGAAGTCTGTCAAAGTCTAATCTTACACTTAGCCTAGTATTCAGAGTAGCTGAGTAAGCTTCAGCAAAGTTTAATTCTAAAATTAGCATGGTAATTACTATACTAGCTTCACAACTCTGTCCTCAGGCTAAGAATTATCCCATCTTTAAGATGGGATCCAGGTAAACTCTCCACTAATTCCCAGTTGTATCAGCTTAATACATGTCCTGTGCCCTTGCTTTAATATGCTTAACCCTCTGAACTTGCTCATCTACCCATGCTCAGGCTTAAGGGCTGACATCCTCATTAACTGAGAAACTCTGAGGCCAAAATCACAGCTAAACAGTCACGGACACAACCACAGCACCCCTCCTTATGATCAAGGAGGGAACAAAGTTGTATCTTGAAGGAGTGCCTTAATTACAGCTGATTAACTTCATCCCTACCCCCAGTTAATAACTGAACAAGCTTTAAAGTATTCATTAGGAAAAAACTAGCATAGTCAGTTCTGTGAGAAGTAAGTATTACACAAACTTTGAGTCAAAGTACAGGACAGACAAAACTAATGGCAATTTCAGGATGAAGCATCTGTATTTTTCAAGTATTTTACCCACCCATGAGTATACACATGACTATGTCACCAAAGCCAGAAGATAAGTTAGACAGAAATTAATTTCTACTGAGCAGTCACTGCAAATGCACCAGGGCATTGTAGGAGATGAGGAGCTCACACCATTCACAGGTCAGCCCTGTAACCACCTTATCTCCCTTCAGCACACAAGCAATGTCTGCAGGGAGAGGGTGGGCCACATGACTGTAAAACACAAGTCTACTGTAACATTTCTCAAAAGGACAATTGTCTTCAATGTAAGATTTATCCAGCAATTAGGTAGCTGAGCTGCAAAGTGAAAAAGCACAGATGCTGCAGCAGGCTCAGTGCCTAGACAACAATTTGCATTAGAAATAAACAGGAAACGCATAATTTACTTATCCTAAATACTTTGAGAACCACAATGTAAATTTCTTAGTAACTATCCTATATGCAAACTCACCAGCAAATCAGAATTCAACAAGAAAAAAGAATCCTCTCTCTCCCAATTATTTCACTTGATTTTTGTTTCACTAAAAATAAGCCAAAGGCACTCTTAAGGAAGTTAATCAAACAAAACAAAATCAAACCTGAGTATTACCAAAATTAAATTTCATAGAATACGATTGATTCAGTATTTTTATTTACAACACTAATTATATACTCTCTTGTTACCTGCATCCCCTTCCAGCTCATTTCAACATGTTCTGTTTCATATATAATTATCTAATTTTAATGCTTAATTGAATATCTTAAATTGTGATGAACCTCCCGGGTCCACCTTCTGAGTAAAAAATACCAACAACTCACTGATTCAAGAGGCTGCAGCAAGTCCTCTGGTTCTGGTTCCTTGCTAGGAGCAAGGCACCCACAAGATCATGTGATAATCACAGACTCTAAAAAATAGCTGACTTGCACATTATTGGACTTCCCAGAACTCAGTTTCACTAATCCCATTTAGAAGTTTGTCTTTAATGATTAAAGCTTGACTTGCATATATACTCATGGCAATTTATACTTCCAGACTTAAATTCTCCATAGTTACACTATAATTTCATTCTTGTCTGTGAAGTATTTATGCAGTTGTTTCCTTTTTGTATTGTGCAGTGTTTCATCTTGGTTCTTCTACAGTAAGTTGTTTTGATGTTTTCCATATGCAAAATACACATTTAGGTTTTTCCTGACTAATCTTTTATTCAGTGGCTTTTGTCGTAATTGTTTCTCACACACAAAAATTCAGTATTACTAGTTGTTCTAATAAAAAAAATCTTCATGATTGCAAAAAACTAAACTTAAACTGAAATGAAGACTTTACATTTAAGATTCCAAAAACTCTTTCATTCTCCACTGCGCTTTTCTGCTTCAAGAACTTTTGCTTTAAGGCTACCAAATGACTACGTTAATTTGAAATATTAACTGATTTTAGTTAAGCAGTTTTCATAAAATAAACTTAATATTGTTGTCATGCCCATGTCTTTCCTCCCTAGAAAATGTAAGTCTCTCAAATCCCTTTGTAGCACCACTACGAGCAAAGGACATATCCATTTAAATATCAGCAAAATCCTCTTTACCAAAGAACAATTACATACTTGGGTTACAATTTATCTTTCTTTCATCTACATTTTAAAAGTGATAAATCATAGACCATGACATAATACCAGACTCTTACCCAACTCATTTTTGGTACCTTTGTTCTGGGTTTTTAATTAATTTAGCTACCATGGCAAAATCCAGAAGGTAGGAGGTGAACACTTTGGGAAATTCATTAATAACAAAGCCTCATAATAGAATTTTTGGCATTTCTGGAGGGAGGAGGAGTTGCTTTGGCAAGGTAGAGTTGGGGGGCAGAGAGTGTTTGGGCTGTAGCTGTTTTAAAGTTTTGCCTTACATGGCAGGTGAAGCCAACCATGCAAGGAAACAGCTTCCTCTCCCAACAAGCTTCCTTATGGAGTAATAAACAGAGAGGCAACAGCTTCCAGTGCCACAAATGCCACAAAGAGGGCAAGTCATCCAAGACTTGGAATTTTGTCCATCCCATATTTTTCTTACTGAGATTAACTGTTGATCTAGGTTGGTGCAAATATCTGGCATACACCAGTTGTAGTGAACCATAGCAAGCATATTTTCTTGAAGTTTTACTTACTATTTTTTTCTTTTGGGATTTTAAATCTTCCAGCGCATCATCTAAAAGAAGGACATTATACATTAGTTTTCAAATATAAATTCATTTCAGCACACTCCAAACATTGATTTCACCTTGAGATATCAGGAAAAATTATGCATTGACCACTACCAACTCTAAACATCAGTAAACTTGGTATAAAATAACTAGAGTTTTTATGTGAAAATAAATCACTTAAAATGCTGAAACTGCTTATAAATTATAGCCTACTGTTATCACTTTACAGTTATAACTATTAAAAAATTTTATGTACCATTTCCTCATTAAGCAAACCAATTCTAGCCAGTGCCCTGCTTTGACCTACATTAAAACTGGTACAACAATGGACCAAATACATTTAATCTCATGACTCAAAATACAGAGAAAAGCTTGAGGTCTAAGTATTAGCATATCTGAGTACCAGATTTACTGGCTTCAGTATTTCACATAAACCTCTTAACACATACTAGTTTCAAATGCCAGGTCAATTCCAAGCTTTAAAGCTCAATCTATTTCCTCCTTTCCACATTCTCAGACCACAGCAAAGCCCCCAGTTTTGTAAGAACAACTACCAGAAGGTCATTTTTCTATTAGATGTCAAGAGACTGTTCCAACAGTCTAGCACAACAGCTAACCTCTCTAAGAGGAAGAGAAAGTAGAAAGGCCAAACACATATGGGATTTTCCTGAAAGTCAATGTTTGGAGCTTGACACTCACAGAAAACTCACTGTAATAAACCATCACCTAATGCAGAAGATACTCTCTCAACAAATTAGCTTTCTACTACCTCTTATCACAGCAAGAGATTTTAACAATACACTGTACAACTTTTTACCCTTTCTCAGCTCTACTGAACACTGGCAGCTTACTTCCTGTAAAAATATACCTATTCTTAGCCATTTTTAAAGACAGAAAAAGCTTCACAAAACTACAAGACACAAACTCAACCAAACTAAACACACTTTTTTTATATATTTTTACTATTTATAAATACGTATTCCATACCATTCCAAGTTACTTCAGGAAAACTGTTACTTAAAATAAAGGGGAAAAAAATTACTTGAACTTCTCCAGAATGTAGAAATCCATTTCCATCAAATACACCTCTTCATTAAATGTGCAAAATACTAAAACTGGCATGCACATATTTGAAATTATATTATTTATACAATAAAAGGGTAACTACAACCATCCCCATTTGTTAATAGGACATGGAAAAAGACAATATTTAATCCTGGGATGGACCACAGAAGATGGATAATTCCAGAAAGTATGCATCTGCAAATTACTAAGGTACCTCTTCTCACCAAATGTTACATTTACATTAGAACACAACCTCACATGTTGCCCCACAGATTAATAGCTTAAAATGTACTGCAATGCAGTGTGGTACCATGAAACCAAATAAGCAGCAGAATACAGCCAGCTATCAATGGTTGCTCAAGAAACTGCAAGTGCTTTTGGTACAGAAATGCCTAGAACATCTTCAAGCACAGCCTTCTACAAAGCAATGCCATCAGTTTCAAGTGTGGGTGTTTCCTTCTGATCACTTCACCTCCTGTATTCAAGAAGAACCTCAAGAAACACCTGCCCCTTAAGCATGGCCAAATGGCAATTACTGCGAAGTACTCTCAAGAAACCAACCTATCTCATCTTAATTAAACCTACAGAAAAAAAATAATTCATACTAGAGAAGTGAACACCTGCAATATACCTCATTTATTTTCTCCAGCTTTGGGACAGATCAGCCGAAATCTTTAACAGTTGTTTCCCTGACCAGTCCTAAAAACTGAAACTCCACCATCTCACTGCATCACCTTCCCTGGAGTCTAGCCACAAGTTTTCTTCATTCACAGCATCACTCCCAAATCTGGTGTATACTGATTATCCAGCACAGAGCTTTATTGCATTAAATAACCACCTCCAGTGTCTCAGTATGTTACACTAACTTATCCCAGAATAAAAATTTGATTTTGAGCAACTTGGTTGATAGTTTGCTCTCTCAGCTATGCTTTCTCCTGCTTTACTGCTTCAATCCTACATTCGATTTTTCTTTTTCAAATATATGACTTTTATCTCTGAGGTAAAACACCTTATTTTCATCCAGTCTCTTGAAGCACACAGGAATAATCCCTTTTGGCATGTTCTATCATCTACTAAACCCTTTAAACACGGGTTCAACAAAAGCACCAGACTTGCCAGTATGCTCAAAACAGCAATAAAGACATTTAAGCAAAGTAGAAAAATATACTTTTTTTCTTATTCAGCCATGAAATGCAAATCATCCATTTCACCTTAGAAATGAATCACACAGCACCACAGAATATATGGACAATTTTATTTCTACATAAAAATGTATGTTCTGTGCTTGCATATCAAACGCAAACATTCAGTTTAAGAAAAATTCTAAAAGTGATGTTTAACTTGTAAGCTGTCACAAATTAAATACATCATGCTGCTCTGCAAGTCATAAAACACAGTGCAACACTGAGGTTTGCCTGTATTATTGCTCACATCACCATGAGATATTGTTACAGGCTGGACTGCTTTCAAGGAAAGTCTCAAATGAATTCTAACTACTGCAGACAAGTGCCACAGATGCTGTTTTTAAATAGCATGCAGATTCATTCTAATGCAAAATTTAACAGCTTTTTATATATATTTGAAAACCTCCATTACTTCTTGGTTTTGTTACACTTCCAATTTTCCTTAGCTCTCAAAAAAGCAGAAAAACCTACTTATACCTTTCCCACTCAGGAAAAGATAAGTATGCTTTGGAGAACTTGGGAGAGAAAAGATATCCTGACAAATAAATTAGACACATCTGCTATAAATCTCTTCCCTTTTGTATAAGGATAACAGATGACTGCTGGAATACTTGTGAGATGGAAGTATCAAGGGAACTACTACTACTGTTTATACTTCCTTTCCCCTTGATCCTACTTTTGCATCATATTTTATTACATTCCACATTTGACACATGCAAAAACAGGAGAAAGTTAGCACCATTTTATAAGTGAAGTGAAAGATTAAGCAGTTTCCTTCCTGCTCTTTCATGAACTATGTGGTAGAAAAAAGTTTAGCTAATACTACTAATATCAGTATCAATTAAAAGGCTATCCTTGTCCTCCTGGAAGCCAAATTAGCAAAAGCATTTATATTATCACAGCAAGCATTATCCTCAACTAGCTACATATTTAAAAGTAAATAAATAAAACACAAGAAAAAAGTACTTACTATTTCTTTCTGTCCGTTTGGAAAAGAAAAAAATTAGCAGAGTTCTTATACACCAGATTCTTTAGAAAAAAAAAAAAAGAAGAATTACATTAATTAAAATATATCACAGTAACCATTTCTGAAGTCATTTAGCAAACAACATTTAGCAGATGAGATTTATTTCACAAATACAGACAAAAACCTTCAAACACTATTCATATAAAAAAGTAAAAAATAAATTAGCACCTTGTCAACAAGCTATCAATATTGCTCTAAATAAAGCACCTTTTCAATTGAAATTAACTGTTACTTAAGGCAGAAATACTAAAGCAGCAGCAATATCATCACTTGCTAAAAAATGTTCAGCTGAAAATTACTTAGTCATCACTTCTTATTTGATAGATTAATAAGACATTTCATCCAAAAAAAGAAACTTACCAGTTCAGACCCAAAATTAAGGCCCAAGAGATTTGTGGGAAGAATTCTAATACCAATGAAAACCATGTGATAGAGCTATTGTACAAATGCTCTCCCAAGCAGAATTAACTGACCTGAGTCCTGGTGATTTTAGAGAAGCCTCAGTCTACTCAGTTTCTGTAGGGTTTTGGCTGACTTAGCTGGAGCAGTTTACACCAAGATGAAGTTAAACTGATCTATGACCCCTTTTCATCTGAAAGATCTCTTTGCAATCATCAGGACTTCATTTGTTTAAAAGCTTAGAATTGCTACTAATATTAAGCTGACACTTCTCCTGGTAAGTTATTCAGTCTAAGCCAAGTGGCAAACCTCATCCACCAAGCCATTCCAAGCATCCACAACCCTCCTAATGTTAATTAAATAATAGAGCCTAAACTAGCAATGCTTCATTTAAGAAAAAAAAAAAATCTAAAAGGCTAGAAAGGTTATCTGACTAAAAGCATGCATAAGAAAGCAGGCAAAAGGCTCTAAGAGTTTTCATAATGACTTAATTCATAAGAACAACTTCTGTATTTATACAATGGTTGCCCAGTTAGAAATGCCTTCAAGTATTAACAACACAGCCCAAGTTAGGCAAGTTGGATGAGGTACCTGGAATCTGAGAGCAGCCTATCCAAGGTAAGAGAAACAAAGAAGTTTAAGTATTCCATGTAAAAGGTGTGCTATAATAACTGATCTAACAATACAGGTGGATTTATCCACTAACACAACACAAAATGTGTCTTTCTAAAGTACCAGAAGAAATAAATGTTTAGAGGGTTTAAATTGCCTTAAATACCTTGTTACAAAGGCAAAAGCATTATTTCTTTTTAAATGTATGCTTAATAGTCTTCTAACTAAAGCTGTATTCTAAATATGAAGTAAGTCAGACATCATGAAGTAAAAAAGCATTTCCTCTGTAAGAAATCTGAAACAGAAGTTTTATAGGGGATCATTTCAACCAATTTTACAAAAAAGAAAATATATTTCTTTGAAAATCAGAACATGCAAATTAAAACTATTTCAAATAAAAATCAGTTCAAGAAGAGCACCCTTCTAAAATGCTAACGTACTTCTTCAACTTCTCAAGTATTTCAGTACACATTTAAAATTAATGACGTTCTATTCCTAAAACTTAACTTGCACTTCCAACATCCGTAACTTGCTGAGACCCTGAGGGACTGACCTAAGGCAGAAATAAGTTGGTGACTGACTGCAAGCTGGAAGAGGCAGACACACTCCAGTTTGATTAGGTCTGAAAAATCTCTAGAGCTATTACTGGGTGGCACCAGGCATTCAGCATGGAGTCACCTCTTGACCGAGAACAAAGACAAGCTGGCAGCTGCTTGCCATTCATATCTGCCAAAAAAAGCTGAAGGGGAATAGCTTAAGGGAAAAAAAAAATCTGATAAACAGTTGCAAGTCATAAGAGAACAACAGACTGATTCTAAGTGCTAGTAAGCTGACATCTAAATCTGAATTTTACAGAGAGCCATCTTGAGAAAAATAAGCAGAACTGGACAAACTAAAGAATAAAAGCCCAACATGTAAATTCAAACCACAGCACAAGAAGCCATCACCTTCAATAATAAAAGCTTTCATTTCTATACTAATTCTAACACATCTATGTGAAAGGAGGCTGGTAACACTTCCTCTTTTACAAGCCTTTCCTATCAGCATGAACAAGCCTCACACACTAACAACAAAGACTTTAAAATGCTTGTCCTCAAGAACAAAATTAATTCATATTGCTGCCAAAGATTAATTTGAGCTCTAATTTCTATATTAATCCTTTCCAGTCAAGATCCTGCTGCCCATATATTTTCTCCACAGGAGTACACAACAGCAATATATCCGTATATTACAAATAATGACAAACAAACACCATCTTCACCTTGGGGGTTTTCCATGTGTTACATTATGCTCATCAAACTTGCAAAGTCTCAAATATTTACTTTGACTTTGCCTTCACATCTAAAGCTAGGGCATGTACAAACCATGCCTTCATACAAAGGCACTGTAAAAATGGAAGTACTTATGATCATTTTAGCAAATCAGTAAATGCACCATGCTCCCCATTGTTAGGGAAGATGCTCAGTAGGCTGCTCTCACCCTCCCTGGTGGTCTGGAGGAAGAGAAGGCTCCAAAGCAGCTGTTCAGTGAGGTGGGAGCCCTTTTTGTTACTTTCAGAAAAGTGGATTTCTTAGACAACAAAAGCCACTCATCAGGACAAGCAGCCAATCAGCTCAGTGGAACAAACATGTAGCAATACTTTCTCCAGTTCACATACAATGAAGTTTGTATATTTTCTTGTTGAACAAAACAGTCAGTGATTTTCCAGAAAAACAGCTAATTATGTAAAAGTAGTTTCCAACACACTTAGGGTGACAACTTTTCAATCCATTCTGTGTTAAAAGTCACCTAACACATAAATTAAGTTTCTCCATTAATTCTTGTATTTTTCCCAGGTTTATACACTACATTTTACATGTAGATGACATACCTTTGGTTATTTCTGTATAGTAATGTTACTTCTCAAATGGCAATTAAAACAAAACCCAAGAAACAGAGTAAAAACAAAACCCTTGTGCATATACTACATTATCTTACAGCTGTTCAGACACAGCTTTCTAGCCCCAGCATCATTTTGATAAGCCAAGTAACTTTAGATGCTATTATCTTTTGATGATAAGACCTAGCTCTATACTAAACCCAGACCCACAAGACACATTCCCCTCAAAGAAAGTGTCTGCCTACCTACTTGAATTTATTTTAGAAGAAAAAATTCAGCAAGTTATGACATTTCAAGGATTGTCAAAGCAAACTCAAACCCCTGCTGAGATGTATTTTCCATCTCCTTTTATCAAAGAGACAGCAGTTAGAAAATAAAAAAGGCATATTTACTTACATGAACGGAAATGCAAAAAATGGAAGCGTCATTGTCAGCCTTGCTGTCCATTCATCAGGAAGACACCACAAATATACAATTAAGCAAGTGATAAGGTAAAGAACTGAGGAGTAGAGAAGAAGCCTTCCAACCCATAGTTTCTGTAGCCTCTGATTTTTTTCTCTAAATTCTTCTAATGTCTGTATTTCCTGCAAATAAACAGGGTTTAGCCTTATTAGTGCAATTAGTAAGAGGTTTTACTAAGCTGCCTTTAAATGTTTGCTAAAATCAGCCCTATCAGTCTGATACTTGATTAGAAAAGTCAAGCAGCTCTTTGATAAATGACAATATTTGCCCAAAGATAACTTTCATATCATGAATACTCCATACTAATAAGGCTATGATATGGGCCACTTGCACCTTATTAGCAATTGCTAAGACAAGTTAAAAATCAGCACTTTTTCACATTTGTAATGCATTAGTATATTTGGGAGAAGTGAAAAATACCAGAATCTTATGCATGGCAGTCTTTACTATCACAGAAGTCACTACTAAGCATACTCAGCATTCTAAAGCTTTCATCAGATACCTGTGGAATGTTAAATGACACTTTTCTACTAACATGGCAAATTGCTGGAACCTCTCCACCTTACTTGTTTTTTCCTTTCAGTACTTTCCTCACAATTAAGAGTGCAATCATGAACATCTGTAGGATGGTATATTAATAAGTGATGGTATATTAATAAGCTCTGCTATGTTAACCATTCTGACTGTATTTCAAGTGACAACAGAAGTACTCACAGCTTCATTAAAAGGAAAACAAAAATACCAACAGAATATTTCAAAACAGTTAATTTCCCCACAGAGTACAGACATCTGTCACAAATGCTGGTGAAAAATCACAATTGATTACTGAACAATTGATTACTATCCAGTTATTCTGCCCCTGACCTTACTACCACTACAGATGCAACTTCTATGAATAAAACCATACACTGAAGCTTTTCCAATCAACCAGATGAGTGGAACTTTGCATTAGTGACATTTTCCTTTACAGGGGACTTCAACAATTAGTTATTACTGAATTGTGTAATCAAGGCAGCTTCACATTCATTCCCATTTCAGGCTCTCTAAATAAATACTTGCCCTGCAGCTTCTCACTATCTATTATACAGTATTGGTACTTTTTAAATTACTAAACAGTAAGGGGAAAAATTCTAACAATTTCTCTGATGTGCAGAATCTCTACTACTGGAATAGTTACCAAAATAATTTAAAAGTTCATGAGAGTATTTTACCTAATGTGAGAGAAATATATGGCCAGCAAAAAGGACACATATTTCTAAACAAAAAAAAAATCAAAGAAAACACCAAAAAGCAAACACATACCTTATCTATTTTCTCTAATACTTCTACAGTGGAAGGCTTTGCCTGCTTGCAAGGGAAAGAACAAAGATATTAATCTCACTTTTAAAAACTCAGTATTTTGTAGATTACTGTACATTAACAGTTTCCTAAAAAAAGACATACTCATAATAAATTAATAAATTATCTATTTTACATAAAGGTAAGAAGTTTTCCTACTTTAGTGTGACAAATAAAAAGGATTGTAATGAATCACTATTTTACAGCTGGCATTACTCTAACCTGAAAGCTCCTCTCCTACATCACAAAAAATGAAAATCTATAATGCTTCTACAGCAATAATGAATGTGTAGGTGGAAAGCAAAACAAGAACAGAATTGATGAGCGGCAGAAATATGCAAAACACAGAGAATATAGAGAGGAAGCCCTAATCTGAGTACTCCAGCTTTTTACTACTATTCATCCCATATAAGGACACATGGTGTAAATCAATCATAAGCAGCTGCAAATAAGGGCTGCCATCACCAGTAAAATTCCCTATAGGAGCACGTGGAAATCCACCTTCTAGGAATCTTTCCTAATTTCTGAGAATTATCACACCACAATCTTTCTCCACCCTTCACACTACAAATTCAACAGCCATAGCTCACACAGCATCACCCTGAAAGTGAGTTTCTATTACACAAAACTGACACTCCATCTGAAGTTTCACCTTTAATGGAGTTTTGTAGGGAAGACTCTGCAGTCAACTGCTAATAAGCAAAGGCAAACCTAGACTCAAGCAACTCACACCTGCCAGGAGAGTAGTCAGAAACCTCATGCCTCTTCTTCCTCATAAACTCAGTACACCACTCAACAACCAATAAAACAGAGAGGAAGACAGACTTGTACAGGAGTAAGTCGCTACCAAACCATTTGTTAAAACAGCCAGAAATGTTTCTGCACATACCCATTTTTATCTAGGTCACCAACCTGTCAAGTCACAGATGCTGCAGTTTCTATCCCAATGATGCACAACAAAAGTATTTAGATTTACAGAAAGAGTTAAAACTGTATTTTTTTAAGTTAATCAAGCCAGTGCCAGACTGGTACTGCAAAGGAAATGAAGGACAACAGCAGAGTTTCACAGCTTAGTGATTTAGCAAAGAATACTTTTGGTCATGATATCTCTCACTACTGGACTTTAATGACATACTCACAGGAAAAGTTCAGCACTAGCATTCAGCCAGCATTAATAGTCAACATGTCCTAGATACTCCCATCCTCCGGACTAAAGGTTATTACATTGTTACACAGTGTTACTTACCCTCCATCTTGAAATTAATCCACCCATCTTCTATTGTGGACAAATGCTGGCAGAGCTATCAATCTTCTACAAGAATTCACAGCTAGAAATAAAGCATTAAGCACTTAGGAGTAATCTAACAACATGATCAAAGATTCTCAAATTCATTCCAACATCTTAAGAAATCACAATATTGTCTAAAGCCATTGTCTAGCTATCTACCTATGTGCTATCTTTAAATTAATTTTTCTGATTCACAAGCCACCCTGTAAGTCAGTTGATCAACTTAGATGGGGCCAAAGTTATTTTTATTTTGGAAATACTTAACTAGCAGGGAGTTCTCAAAAACACAGGCACAAATGAACTGCAAAAAGAGCCACCAAAACACTCCAGCAGAAAAACAATTTTAAAAACTTAGTATTGGGCACAATTATTTAAGATACTGATTTCCAGTTATTTCCTCTGCTGCCCCTAAGCACAACTCAGTATTCCTTTTACATTGCAACTCTAGACATTCAGCATTAACACCCTATTAACATCTCATCCTGTCCATGAGAAAATTTCTCAAATAAATCTATTTCTTTTTCATGCTCTCACCAACAAGAATATGCTGTGTGCTCAGTTTTAAGTTCAAAGAACCAGTTTCAAAGATTTCATTTGCTGTACAAAAGTACTACATTGACAGGTCTTCCCTGCACAACTCACAAGCCAGTCATCAGCACATCAAATGACTCTAAAACAATTCCAAAGGGGCAAGAGCAGCTCCCCTCACCCTACACAAGCCTGGAACCCATGAACAACACTAACTTGATGATCTGGGTCTAAGTTCCTTAAACAAAATTGTAGCAACTTTCCATCTGAAGATAGTTGAATCAATTGAACTTTAGGATGCAGACTTTCTCTCCATCCATTTAATATACAAGTTTTTTTACCTATTTAACAAAAAAGTAATCAGTTCAAAACAACCCTGACAGTAAACTAATGCTCAAACCCAGCCAGGACTCAAGCCTTTTCCATTCTGGAATGAAACACTAACACTTATTAAAACAAAGCCGTGATCTAGCTAGACAGAAATATAAGTGATCATTATCTTGCTTATTAAGTTTCCTTTGGCCAAAAATGGAAAGATACATTTCAATCCAAATTTGTTTTGGATTGAAAAAATTGTCTGAGGCCACAAGAGCAACTTCACATGTATAGGATATGCACTGCTCACTAGCACAAACACTGCTGTAGTCTGGTAACCTCCCCACCTTTTAAGAAAGCCAAGGACTTCAGAACTCTAGGCCCCACTGGCTTCAGAAACCATCCCTTAAAGATAAGGAAATCCATATCAGAAATGCCATGAGAACGAAGCCAGAACAGATGGGCAAATCAGCTCTGCTGCTGCCAAATGAGTAGCACCAAGGGCTGAGATACAGAAAAAGCAATTACCCCTTGGACTCGAACAAATTCTCAAAATAATCACTACTACAGCAACTCAACTCAGTAAAACAGCAGTCTTTTTTTTTAAACACACAATCTAACATCAAGAATTTTACACAATGTGACTCTACAGACACAGGTGAGCTTTTGAATGATGGGTATTGCAGTAGATCTGAGCCTACACTTTCTTCCCAGATATTTCTACAGACACACAGCCTTTACATTGTTTTGCAATGAAGATAGTGTGTCAAATAGCCAACTGCGAAGTCTGTAAAGCCAGCACAAGGCTCCCAAATCTGGCTTGTTTCCCTAGCATTGCCACTGCCCTTAGGAGCAATGGTGGCTCTCAGTTGTGCACACAGAGAGACACAGAGATGCTCACATGGCCTTTGTGTGTGTCACTTTCCTTCAAACCATAGTGTGAGAACCTCTCCGCTGGAAGTGTTAGAGGATCTTTTGGGAACAAATAATCCATGAGCTACTCTGACTTATAGCAATAACACACTCACAGTGCTATTGCTGCACAAGGTTTTTTAAATATCTGGTAAACACTTGGAAGAGAAACAGGTTTGACAAGTGTCACTATGCGCCTGATTTTACAGGAGCTGTGATGATGACAGGCTTTACAGATGCTGCTCTGCAAGTCTGCAATTCTACCAAAACCCTTCCCCAAAGAGGTATTAAGGGATTAGGGCCACTAGATTCACACTTACAGTTTAGCCACTGACTCCTCAGTGAGGAGGTGGAAAATTTTCTATGATTACTCTGGAGTGCCTCAGATGTTTTCCTTCTTCCCCTCTCTCCTTCTTGACATGCCAACACAAATTGTCTTCAATTTGTCTTCAATTGCTTCAAGCTCTCCTCCTCCCTCCTCACCTGCCACTCCACATACCTACCACTAATATCTATCCTGCTCTTCATGGCAAGAGATCATCCACAAGTTACTTCCTTCCCATGCCCTAAACAACAAATTATTGCACAGGACTTTTCCCTCCTGAAGACTGCACTCTAGCACTGAGCTGTGCATTTCACTGACTAAGCAGTAGAGCAGTTGGACTTATTTCCACACACATTATCACTGATGCAACACACAAGTAAGATAACTGCAGCATGTCCTAGGCTTAAAACTGACAAAAGAAGCACTAAAAACACTGAACAGAGAAGCTTAAGAAAACACTACTATCAATTTTATTACCTGACTCTCTCAAAAAAAAATATTCATAGCAGCTTTTTGACTCCCAAAACATTTAAGTTATTTATTAAAAAGCAGAAATGCCAGACTAAGAGACCAGAGCAGAAAAAGCATCTTCTTTGAATGAGGCAAAAAGCCACTAAGACATCCACGCCCATCCACCCAGGTGGAGAAAATAGCTTAATGATCTCATTACACTTTTATCAAGTCAGTCTCAAATTTCTTCAGGCTTGTTAATGTTTTACAGGTTAAAAGTTCTCCAAAAACTCAGTCTCCCAAGTAAATTTTAATAACTGACATGCTGAAATTCAAGACTGAATAACATCAAGAGAAGACACACTAGAAGAAAAAAAAAAAAGGAAGTTAGGAACTTGTAATCAAGGCCTCACATACAGTCATACAGACATCTCCCCTTAAGGAATGGGCAATGCTTTTCAAATAGGCCTTTTTCGCAAACTTAGTCATTCCACTTTCTGTAAGTATTTTTAGATATTTACCACTACAAAGAACACAAATTCTACCATTCAATTTGAATCTCTAGTTCTGCTCACAGTTTGCTCAAAATTTACTGACCTCAGAAACTTCCACTGTGACCATAAAAAGTTTCTCCAGCTGAGCGCCGCGGACAAGGAAACAAGCAAAACCAAACCAGGAGCATCACCCACCACCTACTGCTAGCCTGTCCTAGGACGCCTCAGTTACAACAAAACACTACTTTTTTCCATTCAAACTTCACTTTCGGCTGTTTCTGTCCGGAAGCATCCCCCAAAAGTCCTATGCTTTGCAGAGCCTTAATTAAAAACGCAAATTAGCTCCCACACGGACCGCACAGCGCCGGAGCGAGAAGTGGGTGGGTCGGGCGCTCTTTTTTGAAACCCAACCCCAGCGGGCTGCGCGAGGGGCGGCCGGTGCGGGCCCGGCGGGCCGGGAGGGCGCAGCCGGAGGTCAGCGGAGCCCCCGGCTCCCGAGGGCGCTGCCAGAGGTCAGCGGAGCCACAGCTCCCCGGCTGCGACACCCGCACCGCCTCCCGCTTCCGCCCCGGCGCCCGCCGCCCTTCCCGCAGCCGGGGGCTTCCCCCTCCGAGGCTGCACCGCGGCCCGCCCCGCCCCGCTGCCCGGAGGGAGAGAGAGAGGGAGGGGGCACCTGCCGCTCTGCTCCGCTTCACGCCCCAGGCCGGTACCTGAGTGCTCCTATGGGGAGCGCCGGGCGCTCCTCACCCGCCCCCCTGCGCCCCCGTCCCACCGCGGAGCCGCTCGGGGCCGGGCCGCGCATCCCCCGCCATCGCGTACCTGCCGCGGGCCGGGCCGCGCATCCCGCCCGCCGCCAACGCCGCTGCAGGAGGAGCGCGGCGCCCGGGCGCTGCTCCCACCAGGCCCCGCGCGGCCGCCGCAGCCAATCAGCGCCTCGCTGCCGCGGGGCGCGCTGGAGCGGGGCGGGGCCGGGACGGGCCGCGCTTCGGGCCGGCGGCGGCTGTGGCGGGGCTGGGCGGTGCTGCTGCGCTCCGCTGCCCGCTCCGCTCCGTACAGTAGCGGACCCGGCCCTGCAGTGCCGTATTGTACCCGGCCGTGCCGCTCCGGACCGTACCGGATGGTACCCGACCGGGCCGTGACATGCCGATGCGCCGTTCCCGCCGCGCTTCGCGGCCCGGCCCGGGCGGTGTCCCGGGCGGCTCTGCCCAGCCAAGTTCAGGCGGGCGGTGTTGGAAGGCGCTCACCATCTTCCTGCGGCTCTCGCTGATGTCTGTTAGAGAAAATAAAGATGTTTTAAGGCAAAACCGCAGGAACGTGAGGGCCAAAGTGTCGTGTGGAGGTTTGCAGGCCTCCCGGCGCCCGTGCTCAGCCAAGGAGGCCGTGCTGACAGAGCCGCCGTGCTGAGGGTGTGCTCTGCGGGCAGAGCCCCTGAGGGGCGCAGCGCAGGGCTGCTCTCACCGACCCCTTCCTTCCAGCCGGCATGTGTTCAATATCTTTGGAGAGAAGCTGAACTCTGAATGTCTTTAAATCCCATTACTGTAATCACAATGCCCTGTCCCTTCCATCAGCTTTCTGACGTCGCTGGCTCCCATCCCTTGCCTCCTGCCGAGAGGACACAGGAACAGAGAATAAATACTTGCTCTGTTTGCACTGTTTCTGAAATGCCGTGTTCAGAAGTTTTAGCACTACAGTAACACAAGTGCATGCACATGAATGTGGAAGAAAGTCCTTCCAAGTGCCTTGTAGCAAAAACTCCCATGCAGAAGCTGTATATCTTCAGCTTACCTTGCATTGTTGAAATTCCTGTATGTAGCAGTGCATCATAATACAGCCTATAAATGTTGGGGTTTTCCCAGCTGGGGTAGGTTTGACCCTTGTCAGGAGGTCAGCTTCCTGCTCATTCCACCTCTGGAAGATGACTAGGAAAAGTCAGAGAGTTCATGGGTTGGGTTAAAGGAAAGTTTAATAAGTGAATGAAAGAAAAATAAAATATGGTGCAAGGGAAATAACTAACCACCTCCCACAAGCAGACCGATGCGCAACAATTGATGACTCTGGAAGACAAACAGCCCTCCCACCTTCTTATTCTGCAATCCCAGTTTTATTGCTGAGAATGATATTATGTGGTATGGAATATCCTCTTGGTAAGTTTGGGTGTGGTGTCCTGGCTGTTTCCCCTCCCAAAATTGTTGCCTACCCCCAGCCCACTCCCTAAGGGAGCAGAGAATGAGAAAAGGTAAAGCCTCAATGATGTGCAAGTCCTGTTCAGCAAAGACCAAAACATTGCTGTGTCAGCTGTGCTGTTCTAGTCACAGAACACAAAACACAGCAGAATATGGGCAGCTGTGAAGAAAATTCCTTCACTCCAGCCAGACCCTGTACATGAACTCAAAAGGAATAGGAAGGAAAGGAGAGGAAGGATATCCCACCAGCTGTCCAGGCAACACAATCAGCTTCAAGCTTTAAGTGGCAGAGCTGGTGAGTCTACTCATCTGCAAGCATTCATTCCCAGCCTGGAATAAATTGGCAAGGTGATCCCTTTAGCTCCCACCAGCGCTCAGTGTGAATCTTGCTGCTCACATGGTTACAGTATCACATAAGTAACAACTTTGGCTGTGAGTCATGGTTTGGAACTGGCTTCAGTACACTTCATTCAAATCAAAATCATGGAGGTCAGTGGAGAGCCACTGACTCTACTGGAAATACTCTGCTATCGATTACAGAGCTCACCTACATATACAACTTCATATTTCTCATTGAGGCCTAGACTGTTCCTTCCTTTCCAGTGGAAAAAAGACTCAGTGACTGACTCTCTCCTACTCTTGAGGTTGCACTCTAGAGCCACTTCTACTTAAATCCTTGTTACAATGACTATCACTTTGCTGAGAGGATAATTTTCTTTTGTGTTTCAGATCAATAGTCCACTTTTGACTTTGATACTTCAAAGTGGTGTGTCATTTGAGAGTTGCTGATATAAGTCTTAATTTTAAGCTAACATATTGAAGTGTGCTGAATTCTTTTTCCATGGTCTAGCATCATATCTACTTAAAATAAATGCAAATAACAAAGATACCGTGTTTGGAAATGCTGCAGGGAATACTAGTGTCTCCAAGAATCTGCTGCATTTTTTTTCTTTTTTCTTTTTTTTTCAGAAATGTCATAAATACTTTCAAGTCACAACAAAATTCATTCCTAGTTCAGGACTGAACCAGAATTGTGAAGGAGATCGCAAACTCTACTTCTGTCCTTAGGGCCTTTTGCAGAGCTGGCTTTTATGCAGGCCTCTGCCATGAAGTTCTAATCATTGTTATTCAGTTATGGATTTCTGTAAGTGGTAGTTTAAAAAAAGCATTGTTAGCTACCATTACTGAACCTTACATGCAGATAAGGCTCTCAGCTGGGTGATGTTATACAACAGCATGCAGCTCCCTGTTTGCTTAAGCACCAAGCTCTGCCTAAAAAAAGAAATTATGCCCATATAGCTGCTGAGGATAATAAAACTGAGTATAAAAACATAATTTTGAATCAGCCAGCTTAAAATTTTCATTAATCTGGTTCAAAACTGCCCCCTACAGAGTATTTAAAACTCTTAAATAGACTCCCTTCAAAATCCTTCATTATCAGTGGGATTAGTGTTTAACCTGACTTTGTATAACCACTTTAGCAGCAGAGTACATCTTCAGAATTTTCCCCAGCATCATAGGCAGCATTTAGCACTTTCAGTCTCTCTATATGCAGAACAGTGAACAATCAACTTATTTGAAAAATCAAACAATGAGCTTAGTTTAAAATATTTTGGTCTCTCACCCTAAAATAGCAATAGAGAAGAGTTTTTCCATGGTAACATTTGTAACATTCCTGTATTTTATCAATATATGTAGCCTAGTAGTCCAATTTATTTTTCTAAATAAGTATATGGGTCTGTACATCATGTGGAAAATGCTGTCTGGTTAAGAGGAATTTAGTGTTGCCAAATTGTGTTTACTGGAGGTTTTTATTTAAAACAGATCCTTTTGGTCTTCTCTGGCTGGTGAGGCCACGTGGATGCTGGGGAGTTTTAGATGGGGAAACAGAACCTTTGTTTACACTGCAAGTGGATTGCAGCAGATGAAGTTGTGTATACAGCCTAAAGATCACAAGCTTCACTACCCACACTGTGGCTGTACTCTGTGCCATCTCACCACTTCTTTCACATCCCAATTACTGGGAATTAGGTGCTGCTGTACGTTGCATTGCTCAGGCTGAAACTGGGGTACCCAGTTACCTGGAGTGCCTTGGCCATTCTGGGCTCACTGCTGGGCACCACAGGGGACTCCTCAAGGGCACAGCTTCACTCCAGGCCTGAGGTGCAGCCTGCCCTGTGGGCACCTCAGTGATTAAAGCAATCCCAAGCTGTCAGGGACACAATCCCAGGCTGTTAGGGACACAGTCCAAGCTCTCCGCAGCTCTGCTCTCCACCTGCAAAGCCACTCTGCCACCACTGGTGGAATGAAGGTGGTGCCGGGTTTGGTGGCTGCAGCATCCTGATATGCCATTCCCAGTGGGAGGTACCACAGCCCCTGGTGTTAGTGGGCACCAAAATTTAATCTGGTCAACAAGGGACCACGTGTCTTGAGGCCTGGAATCTGTTTTCTCTGCATCTTGAGCAGAAGGGATGCTTGCTGATATTTCATAAAATAATATACACATAGTAACTGACACACATTTTTTAATGTCCTATGTAATTCAGCTTTGGGGAAAATGTAATTATGTTTATGTATATTTTATTTATAATATATTTGGAAAAGAAATATAGGAAGACATTCTTTTCTAGAAATGTAAGGAAATACGTGTGCAATTCATTAATTTCATGTGGGCATATCTGTAGTAAAAAAAGCCTCTACTTAGCTCTTAACTGATGTGACTGATTATGATGATTCCAAACTATTTTCTTGTCTTGTTTTGTTGCACATTCCAGTTAGGAATGGGACTGGGAAAAGGGCAAGAGAAAATTGCTTATATTACAAAGGACAGATGGAGCCCTAGTAGAAGGAATTGCTGAGCTGGAAGGAGTTGAGGCCTGAAGGCCAATATAAATTGAGAGCTGCAAGAAAGCTTAAAATTGGATTAACCAAATACATTGTGCTTCATTTTTGACATTCAAATAATTACAGAGCATACAAAAAAGGTGGCACTCCCTAGGTGGAGTGACTTCAGTGACATATTTTGACAAGATGTGCTTTAAAAAGATTTCTACAACAACAGCACTGGGAAAGATATCCTAGTTTTGATTTAATTTCTCATATGTAATAGTATATGCTTCTTTTGATGTTCTGATCCAACTGTAGCAATTGGAGTACGCAGATGTCTGTATTCTCACAGTTGCCTCCAGTTCCCTGAGCCTTTTGGTATTTCATCACGTAAGGCATTTGGATGCTCCCTCACTTTCATTAAGTCCTTTGCTTGTGACTCTTGCCAGAAAATTATTACCTCGAAAAGGAGTATATAATCCATCAGGTCAAAAGGTGTAATATCAAGTGAAAGGCTCATATAAAAATCTCTTAGCAGTTGCATACAGTCATCAAAAAAAGCCAAGATCAACTTTTCCACTCCATAAAGTATTCTTGTTGTGATTAAGGTCTCTGCTTTTGGTTAATAAAATTGCTATTGCTACTACTACTTACTTTAGTTATTGTCATGGCAACTGTTACTGTTGCTGTTACTGTTGGTATTGTTACATAACATTTAATAACTATGTAGTTATTATTACAATTGTTACTGTTATTTTTTTCTGTGGTTATTTTACTGAATATTTCTCTGTCACAAATGTAAGCATTTAAAAGCTTTTAATTAATTAAATATATTTTGTGTCTTAAACCTCTTGGTTGATACCCTGTTATATAC